ATGATTAATGTGTTATCATGCTCAACCATAAAACGATTAATGTAATTTAATTATATATAAAAATGGGTTCAACTTGCTTTGTTAATTTCCACCAAGTAAAGTGAACCAAAAAACATGCGAAGCTTTGAACCGATATTTTTCGTGATGCTCGAAGTATATAAATATATTTTTTCAAAAAATTATGTTCTGATTTAATTCATTTTTTAAGGAATTGTAAACAAGGCATGGTTTTTTTTTTTTTTTTTTTTTTTTTTTAACACGTTGATGATTACTCACCACTGACACACGTTTTCCTTTCGGTGTTTTGTACTCCTAGAGAGAAAATGGCAAAGGGAGGCACCAAATAAGAATTTAACGCTGTCCTCTCGTCTTTCTTAAGAGGTACATTGGATGGCAATCCTGTTCCTGATATTGAGACAAGGCTGATATAAAGGACTTGGAAGATAACCCAATCGAGCTTATTCTCCGTCAGAATGAGGGTGTTTAGGACCAATTAGGGATGACGGCGGGGAAGTATAACAGTCTAAGGACGATCGGAACCACTTTTAAACAACTGCTCAATCCAAAATCTTAAACAAAGTTTCAGCTATCTTTTAATTCGGTGGCAAACCTGTTACCAGTGTTTGTCTAATTACTTTAATTAACCAATTTTTCACTCTTAATTTGGCTTTGGATGTTTTCGAGTTATAATGCACGTTGGCATTAATTTACAAGATGATCGCCTGATTATAATCCGAGCTCATTTTGAAATAGATATTAGAAAGTATGTTAACTATATATTTATATTATTTTTATAATCAAGTAATTTATGAGGATAAATCATAGCATCTATTTGTAGTTGATAATGTTAGAAAAGATAATGATATCAGTATTCGATAGAGGTGGAGAATTATTTTTGTAGCAAAGTTTTTCTTTTTTTATAAAAATTACCATAGTCACTACAGCGGAATAAAACGAAACAGCTGCAACGAAAGATGAATTTTCGTTTCAAAAAACAATAGTATTTACTAAAATTGAAATAAAACAATTAATTTTTTTAGTCTGATTGTGATAGATTTGCAACAGATTATTTTAACAATTCTTAATTTATTGACCTCAACTGTGATAGATTATTTTCAAAATTTGCACTGTGGCTCTCGACAGCAGACTTTCGATCGATTGCAATTCGATCCGAGCTCCAAGACCACGCCAATTTTTGTTTGCAATGGTAGCGAAACCAATTTTGTGTTGGAATTAAATATGCGAGGTTTGTTTGAGAATGCAAAATATAAATCAATATTCACCGATTTTTCCTTTTAGTGATAGCTCCCCAGGTCGGTCGGTGCTCCATGGACTTAAATCTTGGTTAATTGAGCTATTGACTATATATATATATATATCAAAAAGTTTTCGGACCTTGAGTTACATAACAAAAACATCTTTCCAATATTATCTAATGATTAAAATTTGAATTTGCTTCACTGATTTTTTTTAATTAAATATTCAATTGTTAAATTATACATATTTGAATGAGTTATTGACTATTAAGAGATACGATGCTTCCTTTAGCTATATATATATATATTTTTTTATTTTGGTATTCTTATTTTATATTGAAAATATGATTAATCATGTTTAGAACGAAAACGATAAAATTTAACCAATTTCAATATAGGATTCAAATCTTACGGATCGACAAAAAATTTATATGGGGATTATCTCGCTCACCACTAATCTAACAACTTGTTGGTTCCTTTGGCTATCTTTCAAAGTAAACATGTAACTTTTCTCAATAATTGTGTTCATCAAATGACTGAGAGGTGCCCAATTATGTAGTCATTTAAAGGAAAAAAAAATGAAGAATAAATTATAAATTAGTCATTTTCCTTTTAAAAACTAGTAATGTAATTTTTTAAATAGTATCGATCACATTTAATTTAATATAATTTTATTTTACAAAAAAAATTTTCTCATTAATAATTTCATATTATTTTACTTTTTTAAAACAAAAAATCAAAATATCGTCGATTTTCGTAGTCATTCCGTCACTAATCATTCACTAAAACACCCAAAAGGATCTTGGCTCCTCAAATAGTGATGGAATTTCATCCGTCATTGATAAATCATTATTAATCATTCGTTAAAATACTCGAAATTCAACACCTCAAATAGCGATAGAATCTTATTTGTAATCGATAAACGGTTGCCAAGCCGTTTTTATTCCGTCTCTAAATCCCACAAAAACTATTCGATCGCTATTTACTCACTATTTAACGATGTATTGATGTCCGTCGCTAAAATCTATAGTTATTTTTTTTATTTTCTTGTAGGAAAAAAAGACATAAGGTACTTGCTACAATTTATACTAGCTAGCTACCTTTACTGTAACATTCATGAATATCCAGTGCAGATGGTCAAAGAGAATCCAGAGAATTTCATGATCATGTTCATAAAAATTAATATTATACCCATGAATCCTAGCTAACTCGAATATGAATGAACATGGAGTTATCATCATGCCAAACATAGAAGGGACCACGGCAATGTGGAAAAAGGTTCCTCTGAGAGAAAAGGGACCTTATCATTTAAAGAAGAGGGGGCTTCTAATCAATACATACCGTCCTTCACATATTCGTTATGCTATTATTCATCCACAAAAACTCCAACATCTGTTCATATTCAATGCCAGAGCTTTGCCCACCACCATCTTTTTTAAGTCCTCTCAACCTATGTCATGGATTTAAGGCAAGTGATCGCACCTTCTCCAAAATTATCCATGGAAAAAACTTAAATTACAAAAATATATTTCCTACTTTGGAACAAAAGGTTAATTTTGGCCATGACTTTGAAACCGACATATCATCAACGTATGTAATTAAAAAGATCTCAACAATGTTTACATATAATGACATAAAAGTCTTACTAATATCTAAAAAAAAAAAGAATGGCATAATCTTATTATTTGATACCAAAAACTTGCAATTAGTGAAAATAATAATAATAGAGAATTAGATTATATACAGATAAAGTCTGCTATATCCGCAACATGATATATGTGGAACTTGGTACAGCCTTATCTTATATTTAACCTTTACATTTTTTTTTAATTATCTTTTGACACAAAAATTGGGGATGCAGATAAGCTATTTTTTACACTAGCTCAATCATGTATATTTAGAAATACCTCCACTAAATTTATATTGTAACCAAAACTTTAAACATCTTTGCAAGTAAGACCAACTGAATGTAAATTAATATACCTAATTATCTATACAATCATCTACCTAAGAATTAACAAATTGAAAATTTTTTTTCCCCCTCAAAAACCTCCATACGTATGCAGTTTGGTAAAAAGATAGCGTAAGCAATCTAAGATGATAAATTATTTAAGGTCACAGATGATCAAAACCAATAAAGAAAAATATTTCCTTCAAATATATATAATAGTTGGATAGCATACCCAAGTTAAAAAAAGAAGAAGAAGCAATAATTAAGGAATCGATGGAAAAGAGACCTTAACTTCAGGCTCCAACATATAAGAAATGATTTCCCTGTAATTCTAAATATGAGTATTTGTTAATTACTAGTATATATATGATATATCTATGATTACAAGTTTCATAAGGAAAAGCATTGATGGTGTTGTAATTTATCAACAGAATATAAATGATGGAAGGAAATAATTGAAGTGTCATGGAACCATACTAATAAATGCAGGTGACCAAATCAATTTTTATATCGAATAAAAAAGTTGACAAAAGAGAGAACAAAGAGAAATTTCTTGAGATTCTCTACTATGACCATTTTCGCAACCCGCACGAGTCTACTTCATTGGATTCTCTTATGTATGCTGGGCTCAGCCGAGACACACGGAGACCCCGCAGCCTGACAACACGATCCCACCCTCATAATTGAAAGGAAACAGCCGGCCACTTCAATCACTTTTGGGTTCCCATTCTGTAACTTCCCTCGTGTTTTTGTTGCTTAGAAAAAGTTACCTTCTTGTTGCAATCCAAAAGAGAATTTTCACTGCATATGGCAAACACTGTATGTGAAAAACTGAAAATCATATTCTTGCTCTGGTTGCTCCAAAAGTGGAATATGGGAAGACCTTTTGTGGAAGTCTTTTAGAGACTGTGAAGATTGAATATATATATATATATTGTTTCACATCGCAATGGGATGATGCATTAACATTAATCAAGTAATTGGTGGACCCTGAAGTATATGTTACAACTGTAGCCACTAATTAAGTGTCATTAGTAATTGCATTAGACAATCAGTAGTGGTCAACTAATTCTATTAATTAGTGGCGTATTAGGGGAACCCACAGCAACAAACAACAAAGACATTAGAATGCTTGGGAACCATGAATATTCAACTGAAGTGATAGTACGTAATTTGAATAACCAATTGATTGATCGATCGACGGATGACCCATCAATCTGTTAACAGTACTGACCACTTAGGAGTAGGAAAAAGAAAATTAAGCAGAGGGGATCAAGGAGGGACTTTGAACATAAAGCAGATCTCATGCTTTTACATTCCCAAGTTGACTAACCATACCAAAGCCGATAATTCCACACTAAAATCACACACAGAAACCTTAATTCAAGCCTTTATTACATTGCACTCTCCAAACTCCAAAAGTCAGCAATACACCTAAAAAAAAAAAAAACAGAAATAAAAACTGAAGAGACAGCAGTATGCATAAGGCTAAATTTAGTTGGACAACCCCAGCTAAATTTAGCGTATTAATTAGTATACCCTACAAATTGAAAACCCAAGCTAAAATTAGCAAAGCAAACATGACAAAAAAAGAAGAAGAAGGTAAAGCTAATTAACAACTGCCTCCTGATCTGAGCACTCACATCAAAAATATCAAACTATCACACTATACTTCAACCATAGAATTTGAAAAGCACAAACTAGCTATGACTAATTGAAAGCAATAAACATTAAGGATGGCCACTTAAAACTATTGAAATGATCTTGATCAAATCATTTGATCAACAAACATTTCAGACTGATATATCATGAAGTGCATAGAAGAAGAAGAGCTCTAAATCTGGAGGAGCAAAGAAAGCAATCGGTCTCCTTTGCAAAGAGCAATTTGATATTATCCTTTGCTTCCTTGGTGCTGGTGGGCATGTTTGAATCTCTGGTATCCGAAATCTCTCAGCTTTTGGAGTAGAGCATGCACTTGTAGAGATATCAACACCCTCAAAATCTAAGCCACTAATCTTTGAAAAATCATTGCCGCTTGAGGCGGTGGAAGAGTTAGAAGGCAAATCCTCAACTATTGATACTTCTTTAACGCTCTTGGGCTTCACAACCACCTTCTTGTACTGGGTTCTTCTTGGTCTTGTTGTTGTTTTCGCTCTTGCTCTTTTTCTACCGGTTGGAGCCATATTTGAGAGGAGTATAAGAACTCCGATATATATATCTAGATGAGTTTGGCAAACTGGTGGATGTGTATAGTTGAAGTACAAAAACAGGTAGTTCTAAAACTGGCAAGTACAAACTAAAACAGCTACAACTGTTATAGGTGAAGACCGGTGGACACACAAAATATTGAAGTGGTACCTTAAAGCAACCTAAATTTGACAGAAAAGTGATAAAAAGCCGAGTGCATGACCAACTCTTTTGAAAAAACTTTTTTCCAGATCATAGCTACTACTACTACTACTGCTACTAAAAATAGAAGGACATTATGAAGATCACTGCCTTGCTCAATCTTTCAAAAACCAAAATGGAAATTTTTTTTTTCAACAAGAGACGAAATTAATCACAAGCTTGTCTAAAAAACCCTTAAGACTTAAGAGATCATTCAGCGAAACCTAGCTTTAATGATCAAACAAACCCAAAACAGGTACTGCTTTAATTATCAGTATCAGAAAATGATCTATACTTATGAAACTATATGTAGTTAGTGAAAAGAAAAGCACTTACCTTGTACCCTATGAAAACACCAAAGAATCTATGCTCAGAAGCCTAGCCACAAAAAGAAAATAGTAGCTTAATATTAAGAGTGTAAAACTAAAAGCTCGAATCGAAAATCTAGAGAGACTGCAGGAAGAAGACGAGCGAGGCAGGGAGGGAGGGAGAGCTTTAACCCTTTAAAGCCATCAAGGATTCATGTTCTCTCTAGTAGTGTGATTAGGGATAACTCGGTCAGTCTGCCCGTTGCCCGAGTTTTGAGATTGAGGGAGTGGACTTGTTTCAAAATTTGATGAATCTAGGGATTTGGGCAGGCGTGCCCATTGCCCGAAACACATTAGTAGGTGATTAAGATTTGTTTTAGATTTTTTTATGACAAAAGGATTATTTAAAAGAAATAAAAAAAAAAGGAGAAAAAACCTTAGTGGTAACTACGGCGTTTCATTGTTTTTTTTTTTTTAAAAAAAAAACACTTGACTGACAAACATATCATGTTAGGGGTTAAATTTTTATTTAGATTAAACTATAAATCATATAATATTTTTATTTAGGTAATGAAAATGTCATGCTAGAGGTCAATCTTGATTTATGTATTAAGAGATAAAAAAGGAGTCTTTGGTTCCTTAGCTTATGCTATAGATTCTTTATTATTGACCATCAAGTTACATGACATAGGAACAAATTTTTTTTTTTCTACACTAAAACCTTTTAATATCATATCATTGTAACTATCTGGAGATACTCCTCACATTCCAAGTGATCTATTTTGATAGATCTATACTCTTAGACTCGTAGGTTACTCTTTTATGTTTTTTTTCTAGATTTGTTAATCTTCTATGGTTTGCAACATGATAAAATTATAGTCGAGGTGTAATTTTATGTTGAATGTCGTAAGACGACGTCGACGGTGAGGTGAAAATATAAGGAAAATGATTGGAGTCGCCACCTAGTATTACGGTTACTAGGAAACCTCGTGATTGATCCGTTCGTAGTTTCGGGTAAAAAATTTATTATGTGTAAGGCGGATCAAAAGTCATCCTACCTCGTCCTACCTAAGGCAAGCCGCATTGCATACAACATTAATTCGATTTCAGATTTTTATGAAAAGTGCCCCATAATCGAGTGATTTGGGACTTGATCGGTGAAAGGTCTTATCCTCACTCTGTAATGAATGATTAAAAACAATAAATGCCAAGATAAATATTATATGATTTATAGTTTAATCTAAATAAAAATTATAAAAGGTTTGTCAAAATTAAGTTTGCAAATTTCAGAGTGCGTGAATATGTTTTTTACCAAATTAAGTTTGCAAATTTCAGAGTGCGTGAATATGATTTTTACCAAATTAAGTTCGCAAATTTCAGAGTGAAGGAATATGATTTTTACCGGTTACGAAAGAGAATTGCTGTAAAAATTAGCCTACTGATAAACTAATGATAATGTAGCATCAATTAAGAATATTGTATGGTGTGTAAGAAATCCAGTTCGTTGATGTGGGTAACAAATTTCACTGTTAATAGTTTGCTTAAGGTTTCCGAACGAAGTTTGAGTTCGAATTATCATTGAATCAAATATGAAAGATAGGTATTGAAATCTAGACCAGTAGAAGATGCGGTTTAGTGGATGTTATACAGCTTTAATGGACCAAATCTATTTATCCTTTCCTTTATATGGACGTGATATATGGCATGAATTAAAGCTGTGGATTGGTCTCAACCTTTTATAAATTGGATAATATTTATCTTTTATAAAAACTAAAAATTATATGCAATAATATCATTTATGATTTATAGTTTAATCTAAATAAAATTTTTAAAGTCCTGTAGCAAATATCATGTTATGTTTTTTTTTTCAATTAATACGACCTAACATGATGAGACGTTGTTTTAACTAATTTTAAAATTATATATTTGCTTTTTGAAACTTGTTTTAGCTAATTTTAAAAATAGATTAAAAAACTTTCATATATCAAAATTTAAAAAACAAAATTAATTAATTAGACAATATTGGATTCAAAGGGAAAAAGAATTTGACGGTGGGGTTAAATTTGGTGGCTGCCCCAAGAAAGACAAGGGAGTTTAGATAAGGAGGGAGGGAGAAAGGAACAGTTCAAAAATTTTCGTGCATCCTATTCCTAGGATTGCACAGCACAACTGTAGTGTAGGAATAACAAGGACACGGCTGTAGTGTAGTGTAAGATTCCTGAATTTAATTTATCTCCTATAGATTTTGCCTACTACTGCTATTATCTACTATCTACGTATATATCTTGCGACATCTTAGCCTTTGGCTTCAGCATTTAACAAAGATTTCGTAAGGAGAAAGGAAGAGAGGACAAAAATGAAGGGTGACAGGTCTACCAAGCTAGCTAGATCTTAGCTAATTCACCTGGCTCAGACTATTTTAAATTCACTGATTCTCTCTTTTTTGGCGTTTGTTAAAAAAAACATTTTCAGAAGCCCTTGAGGGGATCCTACAAAAGGGTTTATTGATTGATGTGCACGTGGCTCACTTATCCACGTTTTCTAAATTTCATGCCATTATTGTTTATTAAACCAAAACAATTTACTTTTTATTTTTTATTTTTGTTGGCTCTACAACCAAACAAATTATGCTTGAACTTATCTCAAATCACATGGGTCAATGGAGTTTCCTTCTGCTCGTCCATTTTCTGTGCCATCTCATTTTCCTTCTTTTATGTCCAAAAAGAGAAGATCAATTCAATCCGAGATTTCATTTATGTTCCGCATCAACTTTTCGGTTCACTGAAAATTGGTATAAATGCTTTAAATTTCTGATTAAAAGCCAAGCGTGATGGAATCTCTTCATATATATATATATATATGATAAGTGTTTTAAAGACACCTATTTATTATAATCAGACAAGAAATGCTTGCTTCTTTGATGAAGCATGGGTTGATTAATTCAGAACATTTTCGAGTAATAGTTTTGTTTGTATATACAGATACAAGCACCCAACTCCTTACCAATAGAATCCTATGTAAGGCTGCATGTTATTGTTTCTGCTTTCTGTCCGGATTGCTGGCTAACGGCACATGAGTACAAAACGCAGAATCAGACTGGAGAAATAGCAGAGAAATGTACCGCCAGCATTGTGCTTCTCAATGTAATTATAGAACCTAGTCCTGACGAATGGCAGTGAAAAGACAAGTTTTCTCACAAGAAATAAAACACTGAAAATCTGATAGAAACAAGGATATTAATTAAGCAATTAACGCAATTCCCTTTTCACAATTATCCCTCATTAACGCAAAACAATCAAAGTTCTACAGATTGAATTCGTGATTTTTACCTACACTTTTAATTAGGTGTTAAATTGGCTTCTTAGTTTGATACCCTTCTAAAGGATTAATTGTAAGACTCATGAGTTGTATTCACATTCAAGATCATGGACAAATCAGAGAAGAGGAAGAAGATAGATACGAATTATGTAGCTCATGCATCGGTTTAAAGTATAAACAATAGAATACTTGGTTTTATATATATGTTGAGAATGCAACAGCTCCAAAATTAAGAAACGAATGCTATTTCAGTCAATAAGAGAAGCCGAAGAAAACACCCTCAAAATTTTAAACTGCCTCAGGTACTTTCCTGGATGCTAATAATATAATGACAAGTTTGCAATACAGTTTTGCCGGTCAAGGAGATTACTTGGTTAAGCATCAAGAAAGTACCCTTTTAGCTTCGAAATCCAAATTTTGCTTTAATCCTTCATATCCTCTCAAAAGCAGCAAATATTATTGCCGGGAATCGCTCAGCCAAAAGCGGTGCCTCTGTCATTGTGCACGTACGTTTTATTCTTTCTCTGGATAGTTGTTTCGCTCACACGAGTCAAAAGAGTAAATGCTAAAATTAATCAGTGGGTTTACAAAGGAATGGAAGTAAGTGATGTGAGTTTGTGTAAGTAACCGATGTGAGCTTGTGTAACCATCCAGAACTGTTGATCAAACTTATATATACCAGTGAAATAAATTTATTTATCTATTATGAACTAATTTTTTTTGCATTGACTGACACGTGACCAGCTAATCAAACCACCCCATTGATCGCCAACCTTCTGTTCCTTCTCCGCCACCACAATACCTGACTTATCTTCACTTCCTTCCCTCTCGCTTCTTTCCCTGAGAACCCACCTCCATTTTCACTCTTCTTCTTCTCCATGCTTCTCTTCAAACCCCTCCCCACAGTATAAAGATGGTGTTTTTCACAACAAGCTTTGCCATTAAAAGCCCTCTCCTTACACCTCCACTTGCCTGCACTTCTTGAACACCTCTGTACTCATCATCATCATTAGCCATTTCCCATTCTTGGAAAGGCAAGACAATCAAGAAAGGAATCTTGCAGGTTACAGAAAAGCAAGGGTCTTTATTGCTTTCATTTGAAAAGTGAAACTGACAAAAGCAACGCCCTTGGTCCACAGTAGTTTGTGAAAAGTACATAATAGAGAAACATTTAATGGGAAGTACAGTGATGATAAAAGTCTATATGTCAAAACATTTTTAGTTGATCACAGTGTCAATTTTTTCAGGCCATTACTCGCTGTCACATATACTCAACGCCAGAAAAATGAGAGACCTATTGTTTACCCAAAAAAATAGTTCATATTAATCAAATATATATTTTTTAAAAGGCCTGGATATATATATATATATATATATATATATATATATATATATATATATATATATATATATGAGTTTAATCAATAATTCAGGATGTTTCCATATAATTTAGCCTAAAAGAAAAAAAGGTTTCAGTTTTATACTACTGTCACAGACAAATATATACATGTATCTCGATCCAAAGCGGTCTAGACAGTCCAAAGTCTAGATTCTAGACGCTGTTGTGTGTAGAAATTTCCAGTCTTTTTTTAAAACACAAACCAACGTGAAAAAGAAACCTGTTCACCAACTGTAGTATTTGCTATACGAGATAGGAGCTAGAAACACATAAATTAAAACATGAAAAATAGCAGCTATATTTTCCAAGCAAGCCTCATTTAAACTATTTTTCAAAGAAAGCTTTCATAAACCACTGAAGTTACATGCTAGACCAATGAACACAATTAGAATAACAATCTGACTAGATATGCATATATTCATAGGTGGAATCCTAAGATAAACAGCTCAAAACAACAAACAAATAGTCTTATTAGTGAAAAACTAGTAAAGAAAAATTTCAAACAACATGACAAGGTTTAAGATTTCTAGTACAAAATACCAGATATAAGCAAACGTATAGTGAGAATGGGTCACCGGCCTCTTGAAACTGCTTCATCCAACTCCTCAAGTGAAGAGGGAAACAGCTCAATATAACGACTTCCAAGAGTCATCCTATCCTTGGCCATGGCTGCTTTAGAATCTTCTGCATTTGCAAACTCCACAAAGGCTTCTCCAGTTGGCCTACCCTCTGAATTCATTGTAATATGAATCGAATCTTCTGATAAAACAAAATCTTTAAAGAATTCCATTATGTCATCCTTGCCAGCTGAAAATGGCAGTCCCCTCAATCGTAATACCCCTGTATGTTCAGCTGAGTCCTTCCCCTCATCATAAGATTTAGCCCTAGGGATATTTCGTCGTGGTGAACCACGAGATTCTGAAACTTCATTCGCTATTGCCTTATAATAATCCTGCCTCTTACTTCGGAAAACCTCAACATATCTCCTGCCCATGTTCTGCCTGTTCTTTTGAAGTGCAAAATCGACTTGAAGAGGATAACCCAAAACACAAAAAGCTTCACCAGTGAACTTGCCAGCCTTGTGAACAAAAAGAACATCAACTATGTCCAGACCATGGAAGAACTCAGCCACATCATTTTCCGTGCAATCGAAAGGAAGACCACGAAGACGGACAACAGGGAAAGGAGGAGGTGGCTGGCTAACATATCCATAGGGAGGAACATTGTACATAAAACTTGAACCAGGGGAATTCCCGTAGAATGAAGGACCCTGATCAACTATTCGCTGGCGTTTTGCACCCATTTCACGTCCATCTGGACCATCAGGATATCTACTTCAATTTAAAAACCATCAAAGCAGCAGAACACATGAGAAGCTCCCCAATACTTTATGCACAAAATTATGCAAAATTAAGTACAACAACATTCAAGAATATCACCAGAGATTTATACTTCTGTTCTTTAAAGGTTTGTAATCTCTTATTCATTAAGATTAAAATTTTTAAAAAACTGTAAGGCAGGACATAAAATTGTTCATCCCAGAGCCTTGAATCAACACAAGCATTCAAGATGCTAACAAGTCCAAAGGTATATTTGTCATCTAAATATAATTGAATAACTTGTTTGCTGATCTTGCTGCATTCAGAACATCTCTCTAGTGGCTATCAAAATAGGTCAGGCACCGTTTAAATTTTCTTCAAAAAAAAATCAATTAGTGCTTTTGGTACTTGTTTATTAATGTTCTTGTTTTATTAATGAAACTATTACTGATTTGAGCTGCTTAAGGATTGAGGAACCAGTGAGATGCATCAGCCATTAGAAGAGCTTGGTTTAGCCTCTAGCAGAAGTGAGTGAGACCAAGTTACAGGACTATAAAACCATTGGAAACCTTCAATGAGAAATCTGAATAATGTCTATTAGGACCTAAACTTACCTTGGAACCCACATTATAAGTTCCAAATTCAATGCTTCTAGTAAAAGACACTCCACTCCCAAATCTTACTCATTTCCTAGCATGGTTAACCTTTATTCTATCCATACGCTTGAACTAGCGCCCTCAAATAAGCTAACTGGAGTCTCATTTGTAGCTGTCAGGGATTCTAAAAGTGATAAATGACTGAACTAAGTCCTCTATGACCTACCGAGCCTATAAGTGGTCAAGCAAGATAAGCACTCATCTAAATATCAGCAAGCCAAAAGTAGAAAAGATCACCTCATTTCCTTAGAAACTACCATTTATATCTATAAAGCATCATGAAAATGTATATAGTTCAGTCAGCAAAGAAATCTGATCTATAAGCACACATAAAATATTATTCACTTGACTGTCACTAGAATATCTTTTTCTTCTTCTTGTTTCACCATGGAATCTATAGAGATAACACATACATATGCATGTATTTGAAAGGAGATGAAAAATATAATTGCCATGTATCATATTTGATTCATAATTTAATCAAGGCGTGCTTGGTCATCCTACGTGTGTGCATTGGAATTCTTTTGCATAAAGCTCTTGTTATTCCCACCCCCTCATTTTTAAGTTTCTTAAGGCAGGTAGGAATCTCATGGCTGGTTTGCAGTACCATACCATACTGTAGGTGGCCTGCAAGTTTTCAAGCAAGATGAGCTAAGTCATATTCTGTACCTCATACCCATGAAATGGATCAGTGGAATTGCAATGAGCCTTCCAATCATAGATACAGACTCAATTTACACAACCTCTTCCAACCCAATCACTTCAAAGTTGGAAGTGAACTCTTAACCCCAGGACCACCAACTTTCAGTGATTTCATTAAGGTATCTCGCAAATATTAAAACATCACAACAACTAACACCAATATGTAACTTTATGATTTCATAAGATGATACTGTTTCACAGTTCTATTATCACTTCCTTCTGTTTACTAGAGTCTGCATCTGTTTATATATTCATGAAATCCATTTAAATCTCGCTAATCAAAATGATTAATTTGTACGACACCAGTTTAGCCTGCTTGCTAGTCAAATCCCTCCCCTCTCAAAAGCATCGAATTAGCAAAATTAGTACAAGTAATAACATGTTATGAATTATAGACGTACTTAATATTTAACAAGAATTGATAGGTGGCTCTATGCACCCATTTTAATAGTTCTCAACAATAGATCTGAGGGAAGTATTTCCAAAACACAAATATGACAAACAGTTCAAGAAAACACCGCCTTCAGCCCCAACATCAATCATTAAATCATTCTTAGTTCAAGATTAATAACAAAAACCAATTCTTTGCATTATTACACGATCTTTTTCTTTCCGCAAAACTTCCTAAATTTAGAGGTTAACATAAAAAACCTTAACACAAATATTGCACATAGCTATAGTTCTTAGATGGTTACTTTTCTAAGAGCTCAAAATCAATTTTTCTTAAAAAAGAACACACCCAGATAAGATAAACAAAGACACAGTAAGAAAAGCAACAGAACAAGAAAAATCAACATGGGTTCTGACCATAAGCAACCTATCAACGTCAACTTAAGCAGACAAATTAAAAATTAAGGGTATAAAGAAAAGAATTAACAAAAAATATAATTACAAGAATCAATTAACGATGCAGAAAAAACAAAAAGAAATTGTATAAAAGAAAGATTGGATTAAGAAGAAAAAAGAAATAAAAATTGTTTTGGACTCGGAAAATCACGCACGTACCCTCTGTAGAACATTTCCCTTTCGATTCTTTATGAATAAGCAACTGCGTGCGTAGCTTGCAAGTGTAAAATTGCTTCTTTGTTTGGTTCTTTTAGCTGGAAACTGAAGATGTCTAGCCCCAGAGAGGTGAAATCGTTTTCAGCTTTCGCTAGGGGAATGGAAGCTGATATGACAGTGGTTACTGATTACCACTATCACAGGTTAACGACGTCGCTTTGTAGGTTTTTTTTTTTAATATTTAAATTATTCCATTTAAAAATAACTTATTTTCAATACATTTATTTGCTGTACATAATAAATCAATTGGTCAGCATTCCATGTATTTATGGATAGATAAAATTTCTTCATAGAATTGTTAAGTTTGATCGGTGATCCCTGAAATTCGAGCTCAAGAAAAGCAAATTATTGCAATTCTATAACTTAACCATTCTACAAGGGAGTGAGTTCCAATTAAAGGAGACTTTTTATTTAAAAAATATTGTTTTAATTTTTTATCTATCAATATTATTGATTGTATATAGATTTTAAATTGCACGGCATAAGATTTCTATGCAGAAGTAAAGGTTAAAATCCATAGAAGCATGGCTTCAGAATTAAAAATGAAACGCTGTCGTTCATTCTGAAGCCAAGTCCTATTTAATGAAAAACCTCTCGTTTTTTTTTTTATAAAAAAAATGCTGGAACAAACAAGAAAGAAGCTGAGCTCAAAGTCTTAAAGCTACCTCACTTGCTTGAGTTGGGCCTAACAAGTGAACTTTGGGTTGGAAAGTCCATTTGAAAAAGGCCAAGACATTGGACCCAACCAATCTTATAATTTACATGGACGGTGGACTTGTACAGGATTTAGAAATGCCGTCGGTGACGTCTGATTGACCGTAAACGACAAGTGTTACAATGACAAATTATTATACTAACACGAATCCCCCGCCCTAATCATTGAACAAACTAATAAAGTTTTTATAGATTATTAAATTGGTCCAAATCATTTTATAAAAGATACGTTAATAATTATGAATGTTTTATTAAATATAAAAAATACTATAAATATGATTTATACAAAATTACTTATCTACAATAATAATAATTACATTCGTAATTTTAGAGGATGAATCGGCTATGTACGTATAACAATACGAGAGCTTAACAAGAACAGAGTCTATTTCTTACCTCCACGTTTCAGGAACAAGGACACGTGATGATATGAATGTAATAAATTCCACTCACGCGCTCGCACTCCGGTGTGTCTAACATCATAAATATTTGTTTTCTTTAATACTTTGTTAGATTTTTGTAAACTCTATCGTTTCCCTGTCCACAAGTCCTTGGTGAAAGACCACGTTATTTTGGAAAATAACACCCTCGTTTGCCTCCTCCGCTCCCGCTAGTTTCCAATTCCCATGCGAATCAGTTCCACATGAATCACAAGACTCTTTTTTCACGTAATGTTGAGCGGCGGCATGGATAGATTTGCCATTTGACACTCCTGTAGACCTAAACGGTATTAACTATAGAAGACTTTTTTTTTTTTGTTCAATTTAACACGTTCATGTACAACCAAACAAGAATCACAAGATTCTACCACGTGGAACAGAGGAGCCACCAAACTAGATAAATACCGTCCAGGTACTTTGAAATCAAAAAAGGAAGCTGTGAAACTTTGATTTTTAAGTGTGTAAGCCCTTCTGGCTTGGAGAATTTTGGACCTCAAAATTTTGTCTGGTTAAGACTTGTCACAACTTGTAAAGGAAATACCTTTTGCATTCTTCACAGTTACCTTGCTCCAATATACTTCTCTTTCTTCAAGAACCCTCCCTCCTGATCCTCTTACGGTTCTTGAATCTTTGACCACAAACGTGTAACTTCCATTTTATTAAATACCCGTTTGGACTTTCTTGATTTCTGTTATTGGGTATCCGTTATTTTGTTGAATAACACACACACAAAAAAAAAAAAAAAAAAATCAAGTTCAGCCATAATTTTGATTTTAAGTATTGATATTCTTTTTGAAGGGTTCTTTCAAGCTGAAATTTGCTGGAGAGGCATGGTGGTAGCTTTGTCTGTTGTGGGCTCATCTGTGATGGACTCACACACTAGTCCATGTTTGTGTTTGGATGCACTGCCTACAACTAATATTGGTCTTAAGAACAGTGGAGACTTGGTTTTGCAAAGGAGTTCAATAAAGAGAAAGCAATTAACAAGGCCGGGATCATTGGAATTGGGGAGTTCTTTTGTGGACTCATGGCATGATTGGAGGCTATCATCGAAAGCTATTTCAGGTATTGTTTGTAGGAGATCCAGGAAACAGAGAAAGGATCGGGGACTTGTGGTTGTCAACGAGTTGGCAGGGCAATACGAGGATAGTTTTGAGGATGTCAAAACGGTAAGTTTCTATTGTTTTTTTATGCAATTATTAGCTTTATATTAGTTTCTTCTTCTTCTTTTTTCCCCTATTATGGCCTGTAGACGATGAGCAATAATCATGAATTTTCATGATTATGTTCCAAATATGAATCTGTTACAATGTCTTAAAGCAAAAGAAAATTCGTAAGTTAAATTTGGAAAAGGGATGGAACTTAAAAATTTTGTCAAGAAAATCAATATTCACTCCTGAAAACAAGCCTGTTCAGCTTCCATTTATAATCACGATCTCAATGGCATAGCCGGTGAACTTTTCATTTTTAGAGAAGTTAAATAAAAAATTAGTATAATGATGACATCAACTTTACTTTAAGCAAATTAATTTGCTGAAGGTAGAAGACTATGGTTGCATTAATTATTAGCTGACCATGGGTGTCATAAACATGCAAGTAGTTGCTATTTTACAAATAAAAAAGCTATTGACTTTTTTTTTTTTTTAAAAAAGTTGGAAGATGATAAATAGACCATCAGAAAGAAGAGAAACCACTTGCCACAACTTGTACAGATCATGGTGGTGTCCATTTTCTGGCTTTTGAAATCAATAGATCAATCTTGGGGTCCTTCTGTTCTCTACAGATCAAGGGAACCATAAACCAGGTCCTTTCTGCCTGAAAGTAGCAGATAAATATATGCCAAATCACCGAATCTCTGATTCAAAAGTGCTCTGTTTGCCTTGCGTTATCCTTGCCGAATAACATAATGGATACCAAATTAAATGATCATTTATGAATCATAAGCTTAAAAATGATTATCAAACTTCGCCAGTATCCATATTTATAAAGATTATCACCTAATCTTATTACGTATCTCAATTCCCTCTTTAATTTGCTTTTGGAACTATGAGATATACATATATGTCCAGTTGCTGTCGCATTCTTTGATATAAATGTAATTATTGGTAGTGGGAATACAAGAAATAATGGAGGTATAGACAAATTATATTCCTAGATAACTCGTATACCTTTAATCGATCCAAGTTGTTTCTTTGTAACAGGACATTTACTGTTTTTTTTTTTTTTTTTGGTTCTCTTCAGAATAAAAGTTACCTGACCATGAATTTCAAGAACGTTAATGATTATGAGCATAGCTATGTTTATGATAGTGCTTTATAATTTTGTTTTTATGCTGATCAAGATGCTCCTGCCTGCAGCAAATACTCAACTATTTCACATACAAAGCAGTAAGGACTGTACTTAACCAGCTCTACGAGATGAATCCAACACAATATACATGGTTTTATAAGTAAGTGGAGTTTTCATTTGGCCGAGACTATTGCTTTTCCTTGTAACTCTTATTTTTCCCTTCTTTGTTTCCTTTTTCTTTTTCTGTCACTCCCATTCTAACCAACACTTGTTCACATAATTGTTCATTTTCAAGTGATACGGATGTGATTTAGACAACTGTTAAGCTCTGTAAGTTAAGCATTTTATGTGAACAGGTAGCACCTCTGTTTGTCGTTCATGAAAAATTAAGTATTGAAAGTAATACACAATTAAGAGACTTATAGATTTAGACTTATATGCTGTTAATTGGACTTCAACATCAGTAATTTTGGAATAACGGACAATTACTGCTAGATATCCTAACTATAAGATGCAAGTTACATTATAAAAAAAAACTAAAACAAAATGAGTTTTTACTATTCATAACACTGTTTACATACTCACAAATCATTATTCACATACTCATAAATCGTTATTTCTCATAAATCGCTATTTCTTTCAACTGTTACATACTCACAAATAGCTATTCTTTTTACTATTCATAGTATTGTTGTAGCACTTTGGTCCTTTATTTTTTTATATATATTTTTTTTAATTTCAAACTTCAATTGTATTGTGATTTGATCTCATTTTATTTTAGTATTTTTAATTAATTATTTTTATTATTTAAAATTTACTATTTTAATTTATCATTTTTTAAAAAATTCTTATCCAATTAATTTAAAATTATATTTACTAATAGTTTTGATTTATTTTTTATATGACATCTTATGAAATACTAAAGCGTTTTTTTAAAATTTTTTTTATTTAGTTAATAATCGATGGATGAACAAGAATAAATCATTTTTCTAACAGAAAAATTATGAAAAACACAAATAAGAAATAGTTAACTATAAAATTTGATTAAAAAATTATAAATAATTTTTTTTACATTTGATTTCATATTTTTATAGATTGACACCATAACATGGACTATCAAACTGAAATGATTTTTTTAAAGGATTTTATATATTTTATCCAACTCGCGAGCATAGCGGGAGCGAAAAAATTAATTAAACCTAAAGCAAGATGAATGCTTTACGACAAAAACATTTTCTTTAAGTGCATGCTGAACTATCTATCAAGTATTCTAGTTAGCGATTCTTGTATTCCTATTTCCTTTTTGAGTTTGCTTATTTTCATGTTTTGGCAGTTTTGTTGCACAAAATAAGCCTGGAGACGGCAAGCTATTCATTCGCTCTCTTGGGAAGGTACTCTTCATAAACTTTATGTGTTACTCGATTACTTTGAAACTGCTTGAATAGTTTTTCCACATTTTGATGCTACACTGATGTTCTCTTAACTAGCTTACTTGACTGCTTGCCTTACTTTTGGCATCCTTTGTAGCGCACAAGATGCAAAATACTTGTGCTTTTTTCTCTCATTTTTTCTCAGCAAACAAGTGTAATTTTCACACGGTCATTAAAACGAATAAGATATCCCAGCGAAGATAGATAGAGAGAGAAATAACATGCCAATCATAAGAACATTTGAATGGATCCATCTTTTTTACCGACAGGAAAAGCAGGACCTTGCAGAAAGAGTGATGGTCACACGCCTTCACTTGTATGGGAAATGGGTTAAGGTAATCAACTGCTGCTTTCACCTCTAACATGTAAATTAAGCACAAAAATATTGTAACAAAAAGTATTTCCTTGTTACTATGATGTAGAAATGTGATCATGCTGAAATATATAAAGAAATCTCTGAGGAGAACTTGGAGTTGATGCGTGAACGGCTCACAGAGACTGTGATATGGCCATCAGATGATACGAACACAGAGATGATTGGCTGAAGGGATGCAAATTTATTTTTCCCTGTCTTTTCATTTTTCTTTTCCGTCTGCTGTAATGTTATTTGGTAGGTATATCTTAGGTTCAATATCAATCAATTCGGTTCCAAAGACTCTTCTTTTACTATTATTTTTCACCAGCTAATAAGACATGACATATATATTGTATATAAACTTGAGCCATCAGTCTAAATAGCTTTAAAAAGAAGGATCTAAATGTGATTTTCCTTATTTGAAGAGTTTTTCTTGTTCATTCTCTATAACATGGTGTGAGAGCATGGATTTTTAGAGACTTCTTATTTGTCAGAGGAAGTCATTAGGTTCCACCAAAAGAGTCTAGGGACAAGCTTAGCAGATGTCTCAAAAGAATGGGTGCTGCGCTCCATAAGTAGAAAGTGAAGGGATGGTGCCCACCAACCATGGACTTGGTGCACTTTCTTCTCACATTCACGTGTTTTCCTTCATTCTTTCTTTCTTGTATCTTCTCAATTAAAAGCAAGCAACCAGCTACGATCTCAATGCAATCATTTTGCTGCACGCTCATGCCACATTAATGTGTCTGCCCAGATTGATCCCATTAGTTAATCCAACCTATATATATGTGTGTGTGTGTGTGTGTGTGTGTATGTATGTATATATACGACTTAATGGAAATTGACCACCATGGTGTGAAGAAAATGAAAATGAAACGGATGGGCTGCTAATTGTGGTTGGCATTCAGTGTTCAATAAAGTGTTTCAAAGGTATATTTTCCTCACGAGTAGGGTGGAGTGATTATGTTATCATCTCACTCGAATTAACAGTGGCCTAGCTTAATCATAAATGAATATATATTCATGAAAGGTCCACGACTCACCCTTTTCGACTTTTTCATTCAAGGTGTCAATCCGGACCCTATCCATTCCGATCTCCGCTATTTGCAGCTGATCTCTTGCTCCTGCTCAGTCGTGAGTGGTATATTTGTTTGCACTTCAGCTGTGAATTGGTTGTGTAAACCTGGTTTTCCTAGCTAAGAAATGCTTGCCTGACCCTGCTGTTGTGGTCTTGTTGCTCTTGCATTGATTCTCTCGATTCGCTCTAGCTGTCTAAACCAATGTTGTGAGATTTGCTAGCTGCTACTCTTTAACTAATGAAAACTGAGCTTGTTTGGTCCTGGATATTTGTTTGGTTTGGGATGTGGATGTTAGTATTCTGAGATTGCATGATAGGCTTCCATGGTTTTGTTCCGATCTAAGCAGGTTTTTGCATAAAAGTCGATGAACCTGACCGTGTTTGCTTGCAAAATAGTGCATGCTTTAGGCCAAAGCCATACTGTCACAGGGTTGAGTGTTCATTTAAGAACCTTTAAATCATCGCTTGGCTTTGCGTTTCTCTCACTTTAATTGGTGGTGATAAATCACTAGTTCTTGCTCTATTGATGCACAAGTTGATTCAGGCTGTCTTTTTATATAAATGTGCCTTCTGTCCTCATTGCTCAAGTAGACTGAGTTGCTTCTCGTGTTGCTGATTTCACCACCTCCGCTGTGGTTTGATCACATCTCAAGTGTTTTTAATGGTCAAGCCTTCTGTCAGTTGGTACCGTAGTTCTTGTTAAAGTATGATTTAAGCTTGCTATGTGGAATTCATGTTACTCTTATTCTGAAATATTGGAGATCCAATTGTTTTCACGGATATGATAAGCTTGCACCAATTTGTCGTTCAAATTCAATTTGATGTTTTGACATGGTTGCAGTGCTGTGCCCTTTACTGTTATTAAGTTGATCCGGTGTTAGAAGATGGTGGGGGTGATACAAATAAATCAATAGATTAACTATATATGCCCAATAGCACAGACATGATATCTAATCACGTAAGCCAGACGTGATGAGCATCCTGTTGAACTGAAAAGAACGGAGTACAGAGATGAGTGATAGAAATTTTGGATGGGTATGCAATGTTAACTTCTATTTAATCGCTCATATCATATGACCTGCAAATGAAAGGGTATGCAAGTAGGTAGTATTACTGAGAGTTTTGCATCAAAAGTGGACAACGAGGAATGTATCGTAGCCTTCACACGGCCAGAAAAAGAAGGCACAGCTATCCCAGAATTCGCATGCATAAAACAAATATTCAACAACAGGCGAGCTAAAAAGAATGAAGTGTGCAAATCAAAAGGTCTTTACAAAATATGACTGGAATGTCAATCTGCAGATCTCCAACTTTGAGCATGGATCAGCCAATGCCAGGAATATGTCTTGGAAATGCTTGGGATGTAATTCATCTGTATACAATTGGTTACAAAACTTATTGATAGCATTTCCCTCGAAAGCTAATTTACTCCATTTTGCTCTCTGTAAATCTACCTTTTCTGCAGCTAAGCTAGAAAACACAAAGGAAGCTTCACCTTTGCCAAGATCATCAAGAAGCTCAAGTAAGAGACATGCTAATTATGTTTTGATTTCTATATTTTGCAGATAGTTAGGAGAAGCATTTCTTGACAATCAGGCACATGGAGGCAAGCAACCTTGTCCGGGGATATCTACCCTTTGTTAATTCAATTATACAGCTTAAAGCACTTCTACTTGCTGGTCCCAGAAAATTGAGACAGCTTCAGGATTGTTCTTGAGAACTGTGACGAGATTGTAAAGCATCTCTCTGACTTAAAAGAGTCTTCTGCAGCCTTTTCATTTTTCAACTCCCACGAATTTGGAGATGACTTCAGGATTGTTCTTAAAGACTGCAGCCAGCGACTCTAAAGTAGCATTTTTCTGACTTAGATTACCTTCAAGAAGGCCAACTAACTTCTTTAGAGCCCCAGCATCACATAATACCCTGCTAGCGCTCTGCACTTGTTTCACAAGAATGTGTAATGATGCTTGCACCAAGTCCGGTAACATTTTCTTTCTCAAACAAACTCACACTTCGGATCCAGTTTCGACTGATAAATCATTCTAAGTGTACAAGCACTTGCATCCACCACCTGGAGATCGAACAAACCCATTTACCTCAACAAAAAAAAGAGTTACCGACAAATTTCAAATTAACCATAGATAGATAGTGCACAAAAGAACAGAAGATACTAACATTTCTTTTTGGAAATATAAATTCAGACTGCTGCGAGTAACTCCATGTTTCGCAAAGTGATCTGCAAACCACTGCCTATCGTGAGACACAAGAAAAATAAGTCTGCAGGAATCTGCTCTACAAAACGAAGTCCTGGTGCATCTTCTATTGTCAACCATTCAATTCATATGCCTTTATATTATATATACAAATGCATAAAAAGGACCAAAAAATAAATTAAGCAGAAAGGAGAAAATCCTTTAGGACAAGCATGAAAACGGCCAAGATAGTAGACATGTTGCAGACATTTCTTTAAGTAATTAAGAACATAAACAAACCTAACAGAGTTGTAGATCTTCGAAATTGACTTACACAACAGGTATGAAAAGGACTCCATAACGTAGGTTTCTTACCAGTAATAACACAAATTTCCAATTTAGCCTCCCCACTTTACGTTTTCTCGTTCTCAATTCCCACTCTTTAAAATAAATAAATAAATAAATTTCCACACCAACAAAAAACAACAAGCCTTAAAATCTCGATCTGATTGTCCGAATATCAAGCTTTAAGACCAGAAATGTTTCTTTGTCTCACCGCCTGGACATCAAAACCCAAGTCAAGTTAATTTTCCTCAAAAGATCCTCTGCCACCGTCGTTTTTTCCATCAGCGGCTCCGATCTTGCAATCACCCGATGCAAAATCACCGATGAAGACAGCAACACCGTCTATGTACGAGATAAGGAGGTTAAAAATCGTGAAATTTGGTGGATGCTGCGCATTTTCATAAATGCATGTATAGGGGGATCTAGGGTTTTCCAAGTCGACCTTACAGGATAAAGCTCGCACAACGAAGAGGTCCTCATCTTTAACAGTGACTTGCAGAGCAGTTGAAATCGACGGAGGTTGAAAATAATTTCATCTTATGGATTCTTCCCAGCTTCAAGTTCCTCTGTCTCCACCCTCCAGTAAAAACAGGGACTCCACTTACGAAAGAATAAAGATGGTATCTGATACTACGTCCACTTGAACAGTCTTAGTTTCTTGCGTAGTAGGGTCACATATGAGCAGGTCTCCACCGGTAGTTTCAGAAACGGGCTCCTCATTTGTCCAGAATCCCGGGGGATTCTTCGATCCTACAACGGGTCCAATACTGAATAATTCAGTCCAAGACTCTTTCACACCAGGCTCAAGCAATACACATATATCAAAAGATTTTTCCAACTCCCCTCCATCAGGTCGTAGCAAAAAGGCCCATAGCTACAGACCCATTCAACATATAAAAGCACCTCCAAATTATGTTACTTACATCGAATGAAGCAATGAATAGGTTGTTTTTCTACCCGCCAATAATATGTCCCGTTTTGGCCAAAATGATAGACAGGAGGAGGATAGAAACAAGTACCGGGCAAAATGGCATCAAGTTTCCACAATGAATCCATCCTTAGCCTATACATGTCAACACTGGTTTCCGTTTCCTTTTGGATAGGGATCCATGCATCAACATCGTCGTTATAGTGAGTGATACGATTGCAAGTATCTTGTAATCATTGGTTTTTGGATCGTAACCAAATCCAATTTCGGACAAGTGTGAGCTAGTTATGGCATCAATGATACGGGGAAAATGGACAGCCCTAGTTTTATTCGTTGCAGGGTTCCAAAGAATCAGTGCTAGAACAAGCATGAAGACAAATTATAGCATACAGCAAGAACCCACAATTTCTACATCAGGACCGTGAACAATCCCGACAGGATAGGGTAAATCTGGAGTAACAGACATCTCTAGTGTCTCATATAAGGAGAGAACAAATTCCTTAGTGACAAGAAGACGAGGACTCTTATTCTTATCATCACATCCAAAAACAAGATTCTTGTAAACGACAACCGGGTCAGAAAGGAGATTACCAAGATTTGCAAACAGACCAGAAGCGTATGAGAGACTTGGCGAAGATATTTATCACCAAATCTTCCGGTAAATCAACCATCATTCTGCCAATTGCAGAAAGAGCATTTTCTTAGTTTGTTTGAAAAAGAGGTGAATGCAAGGGAGCGGAAGGGAGGTCAATGAGACTAATTTTGTTGGGAAGAAAATTTTTAAAGGAGAGGTTGGGTTAATTTTCAATCTTCATCGTCCTCCAAAATCTCACCTCAAATTAGAAGTAATAATAGATGAAAAGGAAATAACTTTATAATCTTTTAATATTAACTTGTTACTTCAACTTTTTTAAAATTCAATTTTATCTTTTTAACAAATAAGTAAAAAGGCACCAATACATTTAACATTTATTATATTCCTTTAAAAAAAAAATCTAAAAAAAAACCATGGGAATGGATTCAACGAGTTTTATGAGACTTCATGCATTTATAAATGACAACTTTTAGAACCTGTTCTCATCAATTTTCCAAAATAAAACACCTCAGCATCATCATTCTTATGATTCAGCATCCAAAATGTTTACGTTCCCACAAATCCATCTACACACTCATATGCTTATACATTATCCTTTCCAACAAGATTTGCAACTAAACAGGTTGCAGCTGAAATATGATATAATTCTAACAATTCTAAGAAGCAGATACATGGTACAATTTCTCAGTGGAACTATATACGTCGTGGTTTCATCTAGAAGTTGATACCGAGTGCTACTACAACAAGGATAACTGAATACATACAAAAAATTAATGCATAATGTAGGCACCACGGAAACAGATCTGCTGCGCCCACAAATCAAGAAACACACTGCTCTAACTGGAAAAACTGAAAGCAATGTGATACACCTACAAAAGAAAACACGGAACAAAAGAAGGAAATATGGTTCAGATGCATAGCAATGACCCTCTCCAATTGGAAACTCCCAAGGGAATTTAACTAATATGAAGCATAATAACTTATGGTTGATTCTAGCGTCTTCACCTGCTAAATGAAAAGGTGAAAGGAGGAAAATACAGTATGTATGTCCAAGCCAATATGATAATATATTAATCGAGTAATTGATGCCAGTCCAATCAATTTGCTGGAAGTTTTAACTGTAATTTAAATCAGATTTCAACCAAAATTGTATCAAAGTGCTACGGCACAAAAAGACAATAAATCAACTATTTTAAACAAATAAAACATTTTCTTAGCTAAATGACAAAATCCATCTAAAAAGAAAAAAAAATTTGCCACTTAAATATAATATGACAACCCAGCAAAAATTTAAATGAGCACAAACCTTCACTGATGCGTAAAACGTTTCAAGCTTCCAGAGATCCTGGACATATCTTACAAACTACGGTCAAGATCAAAAAGTTATACTGCATTTTTCTCTTATCTTTGAGCTAGATTCAAGGGAAGCATACAGATGATCATGTGAGGCCATCACCGAAAGTCATAGACTGAGTGATCACTGTTCTTACACGAAGCTGCAAAAATACAGTGCCAGAACATTAGCAAAACAATTTAAATGAGTAAAATGGTGATCCAAACTCAGGTGTAAGTTAAGTAACCTTCACATCAAGGCAGGGATCATTAACCATGCTCCTTATTTGAGATATTATGCCAGCATTCTTAAGTTTTACAAGCCGACTAAATGCACCAAGACAAGAAGGAGATGTGAGATTTACTATCACCCAGACAGCAGCTGTTCGTAACCGGCTATCACTGCTCTGCAAGAACTTGACAACGAAAGATTCGGCTCCATTATCTGCTTGTGCAAGAAGTTGCTGCATAACTGCTTCCTTATGAAACTCATTTCCGCTTGCCACATTGCAAAGAAGATACATTCCCTACATGATAAAAATTTTATTTATCTATCGGTGGTATACAGATAGTTCGCTATCAATTCCCCGGAGTTGCACTTTTTCTTGCATGGTTTCAATCGTGATCAGCAAAGGCAATAGTTGTGCAATACATTACCTTTTCGAATGCTCTTCATCGTTCAAAAAAGTAGACAGATAAAAGATAGAGACCAAATCAAATCATGAAACATAGAATTGTAGGCAGTGTCAGAATTTTCTTGCTAACATCAAAAGGGCATCATACTCCAGCCACCTTTTTATTTAGCTTACATAATAGATGGCATCTTTACTTGCATATCCACAATCAATTTTCACATGGAAAAGCAAAAAGTTCCTCATCTTGAAGATAGAAATGAGATTTGCCCCTATTGCAGAGTACACAGATTATTACCCACAGCCCATAAAAGACAGTTACCAAGTATCATAAAGCTTGATAATTAACCTACTTAAAATGTTTGATGTACCGAGGTGCTCCAAGATTTCTTGCTAATATTAGGAAAGGAATATATTCACATGGCCATGTTTTTATCAATGATGTAAAGGCTTTCTTGTAAATAGCAAATTCCATGTAGAATGCAATTTGGTTGGGTCCTAGCATGTTCATTATCCTTCAACAATAGACTAGCTGGTATTGTTTAATTTCTAAATATGCATTTCTAAACTTCCAATGTGAAACTAGCAATTTCCAAGCTTGTCAGCCTCTACCTTCAATGGAAAATTCTTGGTGTGCCTTAACATGAAAAAACCATTATAATTAGGCTTCCTCAACAAAATGAGCAAGCAAATCAACGGTTTTAATATGCTATTGTCCTAAGAGAAGTTTCTTTCCATAATGCATGTTAAAGATATGAAGAGAGAACGTCAATTTAACATCAAGTTACAGTTTTCTTCTCTGATAAATAGATCAGATGCAGTGATGACATTTAAGAAAAAAGAAAAAGAAAAGGAAGAAACATTTGGATTGAATAAATACAATAATGCATATAAGAACGCATCAGATACAACAACAGTTGCCAAAAGCATCTCAGGAAAGAGTATAAAAGACTTCTAACCTGTATTCCAACTTCGTGTGAAACTTTGTGTAATTGCCTTCCAACAGCATCTAATAGAATACTATCTTCAGCAAACGCATACTCAATGGACTTTATACATCCATCAACAAGATTTCGAACAAGGGCCAAAGCTTGCTCTTGAACACAAGGCTCAGGGTCTGCAGTGCAAATTCAGTTGTCACACTGGATTATGCTTGAATGTACCAAATCACCATAAAGAATTAACAGTTGCAGAAACTATAATCATTACCACATATAAGGCTTGCTAACAGGGAACCACTGAGCTCTAAAAGTATCCCTTCTTTACATCTATCATCTGCCAGAAATATTATATTCTTCAAAGCCCATAATGCATTAAACCTGACTGTTGAGTCCATCGATTTTGTTAGCTGAACCAGCTGCTTTACGCCTCCACATTGTATAAATGTGGACTTACGAGTCGTAAAATCAACCACTATGTTACTAATAGCGCCAAGTGCTGCAACCTGAAAAACAGTGTGTTGAGGGGATTTAATGCAATGTTGTAGGCGACAAATTCATTAGAATTGATAAGCTTATATCATCAAAATATGGTCAATAAGAATAGTATCTATCCATATTATCTTTAAGGATAGTATTCAATTGATTATTATTTGTAATCTGAGTAAATGTATAGCTCATATTTTGATTGAAAGCTAAAAGACAAGCATGTATAGCAGGTTGTTGAATGAATTCAAAACTTCTAATGGAATGACTATAGTTCATAGGCATTTGCCTCTTGTGCTAACAACCCACACCCCCCCAACCCCAAACAACACCTCTCTCTCTCTCTCTCTCTCTCTCTCTCTCTCTCTTCCGGGTACAAGCAGTGCATTTAAGAATTTATGATGACTAATGCTCTATGAAAGAATAATACATACCTGGACAGACACTGAAGGGTCATCTAAAAGCCGTACCAAGGGAATAACAAGCATTTCATTCATGAAGTAACCTGCACACAAGTTCTGAATGACATCCTATCAGCAAAAAGTACAAATTCAGTTTTACAAATAATGAACTTAGCATTCATATTGCATACCTTGATTGAGCGAGTGACACTTCTTAAGCAAATACAAGCAGAGATGCGCACGTCAGCACAATCATGAGTTAGAGCATCAATCACTTGGTTCAAAACCTGTGTAATTATGAGAATATCAGAAGTTGCAAATTGGCAATGGTAGAATAATTGCACATAAAACTTTTTGAGTGCAATCCTCGCGTCTGACTTTGCTAATTTGGCTGTTAAGTCATTAGGATACATTTAAGCCTTTACAAGATGGGGGAAATACAAATAGATCAATAGATTAGCTATGCTCAATGACACAGACAGGATATACAATCATGTAAGCCAGAGGCGATGAGCATCCTATTGAACTGCTACTGAATAGAACAAGTACAAAGATGAGTGGTACAAATTTTAGATGGAAGTGTTAACTTCTATTTAATCACTGATGTGACCTGTGAAAGAAAGGGCATGCAAGTATTACTGAGAGTTTTGCATCAAACGTGGACAATGAAGAATGTATCCTAACATTCACAAGGCCAGAAAAAGAAGGCGCAACTATCCCAGAATTTGCTGGGAGGTAAAAAAAAAAATGTTTAAAAAGATGAAAAAAATCTCCTCCAAATAATAAATTAATGTGGCATAAAGTCAATTGATTGGGGATATGGTGTTTTAGCTTTCAACATCAATGCCATGTAACTAGGTTCGATTAAAGGCTTAATGACACAACCATTCAAACAAACAAGCAATTCAATGATGCCTATACATTTAGTTATAAATAAATCAATTGTTCCAACTAAACAGAGTTAATAATTCTCTGCCTAGTTTGCGTTGGCCATTCTTGTTGCTTTTCTGCCAATTTTTCAAATTCTACATCCAATTTCATCATCGGTTGACATAATTTAGGACCGTCTTTGAGCAAAGAAAAAACAGGATGAACACAGTGACATCCAAGTAAACACAGTTGGAGAAGCTGAAACTTTGAGAAACAAATTGTTTCATTTTGAAGACACATTCACCAACAAATATAGAACTACAGGCAAGCTAAAAAGAACGCACATCAAGAGGTTTTACTAGATACTAAACCTTCAATGACAGGAATGTCAATCTGCAGCTCTCCAACTTTGAGCATAGATCAGCCAATGCCAGCAATATGCCTTGGAGGCGCCTGGGATGTAATTGACCTTTCTGCAATTGGTTACAAAACTTACTGATAGCATTTTCCTCAAAAGCTAATTTCTGTAAATCCTCCTTTTCTGCCACTAAACTAGAAAAAACAAAGGAAGCTTCATCCCCTACTTGGCCAGGATCATCAAGAAGCTCAAGTAAGAGATATACTAATTTGTTTTTGATTCCTATATCTTGCAGATAGTTAGGAGAAGCATTTCTTATCACAATCAGGCACGTGCAGGCAAGCAACCTTGTCCGCAGATATCTATCCTTTGTTAATTCAACTATAGAGCCTAAAGAACTTGCACTTTCTGGTCCCACAAACTTCGAGACAGCTTCAGGATTGTTCTTGAGAACTGTGGCCAGTGATTCTAAACTAGCATCTCTCTGACTTAAAGAGCCTTCAACTGCTCTTTCATTTTCAAGTCCCGCAAATTTAGAGATGACTTCAGGATTGTTCTTAAAGACTGCAGTCAGCGACTCTAAACTAGCATTTTTCTGACTTAGAGAACCTTCAAGGAGGCTAATTAACTTCTTTAGAACCCCAGCATCACATAATGCCCTCTGCTCTGCACTTGTCTCACAAGAATGAGTAATGATACTTGCACCAAGCCCAGTAACATTTTCACTCTCGCTATTAAGCAAAGAAATAAGGAATTCCATGTTATTCTCTTGAACAAACTCATACTTTGGAGCCAATTTCGACTGATAAATCATTCTAAGTGAACGAGCACTTGCATCCACCACCTGAAGATCAAACAACCACATTTATCTAACCAAAAAAAGTTCCCGACAAATTTCAAATTAACCATACATAAAAAACCACAGGTGGATGAAGCATATTCCAACAAAGAGATGGTTTACATAATTAAATGCACAAAAGGAAAGTAGATACAAACATTTGCATTTAGAAATATAAATTAAGACCTCCTTAAGTAAGCAGAGAAAAATTACATTGATTCTAACCACTCTTTTTCATCTTCCTGAAATCAAACACAACCTCAAAAAAACTTAAGATTAAACATTACTATAAAGAAATTCCAAGCACAAACTCTATCAGTGTGGTAATTCCGTGCAATTGCAGCATTATTATAAAGAAATTTAAACAGGTAAACACAAAAATTTCAATATTTAGCACCAGATAAGTAGCTTAGGTTTAGTTTAATTTCATTTCTAACAAAATAAGTTCCAATCAATAAATTTGAAAGCTTTCAATTAAAAAAAAAAAGCACAATTACTTTCTCATCGGGATTGGAGAGGAGCCGAATTAGGTGAGGAAAAGAGCCGGCGTCGAGGACCGCTCGAACGCCGGCATCGAAGCCGCAAGCGAAGCTGCCAAGAATCGCAGCTGACTGGACAATAATGTTGTTTATGCTGACGTCAGCATGGGCTAATTGGGAGTCCGCTTCGGCGGCGGAGGAGGAGAGGATAGAGGCAACAGCCGGAATAGCGCCGAGCTTGAGGAAAGAGAGCTTCTTGGTGCGATTACCGATTATCTGATTTTTAATTTCCCTAAGCGCCTTGAGCTTGGTTTCCGGGTCGGATGAGTCCAGTCGAGTGAGGAGGTCCACGGGCCCGTGGATCGGGATGGCGGTAGTGGCGGTTGGCATGGCGGTGATCGGCTCCGGTGGTGGAACTGGGATTGCATAAGAGCGAGGTCCACGAGGAGGACCAGGAATAGATACGATTAGATAGAGGGCCTGCCTTACCTGTGATTCATTATTGTGAGTGAGAATTCTTTAAATTTAAATTTGGATATAATAATACTAATTGTTAACTGTTTTGAATATTATTATGTTAATCTGAATATCTTATTCTCGTTTTATTTTTTATTATTAGATAATTGTTTCAACTTATTCTTATATCTTTCGCCTATTCTTCAAGATCCGCTTTTAAGTATACGTATATGATCATAAATGCACGATAATTCTCTGATCTATCTCCTTCTTTTTTTCTTTTTTTTTTCATAAAATTTCCATCCAAACCATGAAATGCTCTCGATAAACGCAAACTCCATTTGATTCATTAAAAATGAAGTATGAAAAAAAAAAGAGATTTTTAACACTGTGTGATAAAAAAATTTTCAAATTTTAATTTTTTTAATAAACCATGTTAGATTTGAATTTTTTTTTATGTATTTTGATGATCGAGAATATTTTAAAGAAATATATTAAAGATTAATTTAAAATAAAAGTACGCATTCTAGATAAGAAAATAAAGTAAGATAAATCTTAAATATAAGTGTTGTAAGGTTAGTGTTTTATGAATTTTTTTATTTGATAATAAAAGATATTTTTAACTTAGGTTAATCAAAACTAAAATTTCTTTCTAAAATTTTTTAACAACTTACCTTCTATGTCAAGTAGTTATGTAAACCATAAGAAATAGATAATTAATTATAAATACCCTGTACAGAAGTGGATTTGTTTAAAAACTCTGATACAAAAAAAAAAAAAAAAAAAAAAAGGTATTCCCTATCTCAAAATGATTAACCTCTTTCTATCTATTTCAAAATATCTATTTAATCAAAATTTTAAATAATATTTTTTAAAAAAGTATCTCAAATTTATAAAGAAAATCAATTTTTTTTTCATTTTCTATTCTTCACTAATAAAAAGTCAATATTTTTTCTTGTACATAAAAATACTTTTAACATAATTTAAAAAAAATTGTTACATGAAAAATATTCGTCATTGTAGAGATTTGACTGCATGCCTATTTTTATGAGTATGACATTTTTTATAATTATTTTAAATTTTGATTTGTTAATTAATCTAATAATTTTAAATTTAATTTACTATTTTCATTTTAGAAAGATTTTTTTATTAAATTAATATTAGTTTCATATAATACACAATTAAATATAATAACTAATAATTTTAACAAAAAAATTAATTTTAAAAAATATTCATATGATATAATAATTAATAACTTTTTAAAACTATAAAAAATTAAACGATACAATTTTTTTAGAAGAGAAACTAGTTGGTTTTCCCCACTAAGCAACACGTAAAGTAAATATATATGTATATATATATATATATATATATATATATATATATTCATATTAGGTGATTCTTTTAAAACACTATTTTAATTATTTTATTTAAAATAAATTAATCTTAGAATGTTAAAAATAATTAATACGGAATAGTTGTTGTTGTTGTGTATAGATACATAATTAATTTTCAATAAAATCAATGATCTCAATACTTTTTTGTATACATCAAGATTATACTCAGCAGATAAGAGTATATAGTATAAATTGAAAAATATGTTTTAAAAAACTTAAGTTGTAAGTAATACATTGAAGTTAATAAAATTCAATAAAAACAACTGATTGTTTTATTATTATATCAAAAACAACCCAAGGAAACATGTGAATTCTATTATTTATTAAAAAAAATATTGAAAATTCATAGATAAAAAAAAATCATACTTATTAATAAATAAAATTATAAAAAAATAAAAAATTAATTTGATGAGAATTTTTATGATAGACGATAAATTTAAGAGATTAATTTTAAATAATAAGAAAATATAATCCGATATATGTGTTTGTTTTAAAATTTCAAAACCTCGAGCCCAAAAACATTTTTAAAAAATACGAGGAAGCAAAAATATATTTTAAAAAAATGAGAGACCAGAATGGACTAAATTAAAAACATGAAATGTCAAAATATCTTTTAAGAATATGAGGACTCAAAAATATATTTTGAAAAAATAAGATACTAAATTGTAAAATTTGCAAATGAATCTCCAGAAGTTATCAAAGAATCACAAAAATATCATTATAAAAAATTACAAAACCGCATCCTTAAACATGTAAATTCTATTATTTATTTAAAAAAATATTAAAAATTCATATATAAAGAAAAATAAATCATATTTATTAATGAATAAAATTATAAAAAATAAAAAATTAATTTGATGAGAAATTTTATAATAAATAATAAATTTAAAAGATTAATTTTAAATAATAAAAAATATAATTCGATATATGTATTTATTCTAAAATTTCAAAATATCATAGGCCAAAAATATTTTTTTAAAATAAGAGAAAGCAAAAATATATTTTGAAAAAATGAGAGAGCAAAATGGACTAAATTCAAAATATGAAATGTCAAAATATTTTTTAAAAACACAAGGATTAAAAAATATATTTTAAAAAAATAAGAGACTAAGTAAAAATAAACGGTAAAATTTGTAAATAAATATCCAAAAGTTACAAAAAATTACAAAGCCTCATCCTTAAAAAGTAAATGAATAGTGATTTGATGCGAATGAAGAATGATTTGCTTTTTATTTACCGTTGAGTTTTGTTACAAAATTTTTAGTGTTTTACTTAATAGTATTAATTTAAAACAGATGCGATGTTGGCAACGATTGGACTTTAACGCTGCTGTCCCTTTTCTTTTATTTTTTACAGGAACGCATCTTGTTTGATGCGTGTGCTGACTGTTATTTTCGACTTTTTAAAATTATCTTGTTATTCTTCTGCTTTAATGTAATGACAGTTAAGTTGCAAACTTGCAATATGATGGTACTTGATCCTAAACATGATCTGATTCATTATTTCAGTGTAACTTATGTTCTATGTAAAATCTAAATGAAAGATTCCCGTTCTATTTTCCTTGTATTATTATATTCATCGCACCTAATAATCTTATAATAGTGATGAACCATATCCAAAACATTCACTTATAAATTGATTATTTGAGACAACAGATCATGGCTTTTTATTGAAGTTTCCAAGTCGGTTTATCCAAAAAAAAAAAAAAATGATAATTACATTATAAACACATCAACTTTCAATTTTTTTTCAATCAAGTATATAAAATTTATTTATTTTTTTTGCTTGATTACACCAATTTTTTTAAACTATCAACCAAGTTTCTTCATTGATTTTTATGCTAACTGATGATGTGTTTGTTATCCTTACAGTACCAAATTATAATTTTTTTCTCAATATAATACATGAACTTTAATTTTTTCAAATCAAATACACCAATTATTTCAAAGTCGACAATCAAATACTTTTATCCATTTTTTCATTAATTGATGACTTGTCCAAATACCAAATTACATTTCTTTTTCTTTCTTGTTGTAAAGAACTTTCTTTTAAATTATTCTATCATTTTAAAATTTGATAAAAAAAATTTTAAAAAAGTTATTTTTAGTTTTAAAATTTTCAACTAAACTTAGCTAGACTTGCTCGTTAAAAAAAAAAAATCAGTTAGGTTTTGAGATTAAAATTTGAAGAGAATACAAGAGTGAGATTTTTCATCAAGAAGATTCATTTGTGGTTTTCTTCAATTTTCGTTCTTAAACTTAATTGAGTTTTTTTTAGCAACAACCTAACTTAATTTAATTTATAATTTTATAGATAAAAAATAATATTTTTTAATTATTTATCAAATTTTAAAATGGTAAAATAATTTGAGGAGAAAGTCTTCTTTAACAACAAGATGGTAAAATTATAATTTTATATTTGAACACATCATCAATTAATGAAAATACTTGATTGAAAGTTTTTTAAAACATTGATGTATTCAAATGAAAAAAAATTAACGTTCATGTGCTCGATTAAAAAAAAATTTTAATTATAATTTGGAATTTTGAGAGTAATATACATGACATTAGTTAGCAAAAAGTTGACAGAAATATTTGATTGACGAGTTTAAAAAAATTAGTGTACTTAAACGAAAAGAAATTAAAATTCATGTATGCAATTAAAAAAGAGTGAAAAGTTGGGGTATTATAGTGTAATTATCCGAAAAAATAAAAATAAAAGATGAATCAAAGAATCACAATTAAATCTGTTCGTGTGAATTTATCTGGGACTTGTTTCAGAGCTTTTACTTTATTTTATGCCTTTAATTTAAAATAAGAATTACAATTTCAACAAACTGATATTATGCACTTTGCATGCTAAAAAAAAAAAAAACTAAAAAACTTCAATAATAACTTCATTTAAAACTGAAAGAGAATAGCAATTTTTCTAGATATTAAGCGGCTGAATTAAAAGAAAATTTGTTGGTTGTAGAAAGTTAGATCAAGTACTCAACTGTTGTTATATAATATGATATTTTTTAATTTGTAATTATATCTCTAATTTAGTTAATTTTATCATGATATACGCATTGAGTTTATAATATATCTTTATGATGAGATTTTCAAGTTAAATTATCAAAATTAATAACGTGATTTTCATATAAAAATCTTTTATTTATCTAGCTTACAAGGACATTATGAAAATAAAAAATAATCATAAACAAATCACGTGGCTAATTTAGATGATTTGGTCTGAATTTTTTTACCAAGATAATAAATTAAAAACTAAACAAATATATAAAGGTAAAATCAATTCAATTAAAAATATAAAAATAAATTAAAAAACTATCTTATTATATAACAACAGATACATTAATCCTAGAAAATCATAGTATGGTAAATGTTAATCCACTGCATATTTACACTGCATGAGAGGGTGAAAAAAAAAGTCAATAAAAAGTCGATTACCTTTTCAAGAAAAATACAACGATTATTACGACTTTAAATCTTTAATCTTCGCCCTGAGGTTTACGGGGATCAACGAACAGTATGATCAAATCTGAACTTTTAATTTCTAATTAAAGGGTATAAATAATGCGACTTGTACAGTTCATATTAAGAAATATAAAATGCTGAAATACCAATATAGTATGCATGCAAATTATTTAAAAAAGTCAAAATTAAATGTGGGGAGATGAAAAGTAGCAAGAAGCTATGGAAAAAGAATTAGCTATTTTAAAAATAGAATAGAACACGAAAAGATATTAAAAACAAACTCATTTTTATTTCAAATTAAGAGTATGTATTTGTTTTTTGGGTTCAGTTTTTAACATTTTAGTTGGATTTTCAGTTAATTGTGAACCTAAAAAAATGAATCCGTACTTAATTTATATTCAGCTTATGAAACTGGAGTTCTGATGAAAACTATTTTTTTAAAAAATAATATATATAGACAAAAAAAAATGTTATGGAATATGAAGTCTTTCCTCTAATCCAAACAATCTAAATTAACATATATAAAAAATAATAAAATTTTTTTGAATAAAACATTAAATTCATCATTTATAATAGAAATACAATCCATTAAATTATCATTTTTATTATGCTCTTTGGACCTTGGGCGTCTTGGGAGGGATCTTGCAAGGGCCCTCGTGTATAAATTGCTGTAGTTATACAGATTTTCTAATAAAATACATCAATTTTTATTTTGTTTATTTGAATGTTAATATCTCTGTTATTTTTTAATCAAATATCTTTATTTTTTTCATTTCAATGTCGGAATCTATAATTTTTTTTCCCAATTATCTCTACATCTCAAAAGAGGAAGTTCAAAAAAGATCAAAATATCAAGGATAGATGAAGTATGCACATCAACCTCGCAAAAAGAGGTTGGTTGTGAGGTTAGTTACCCCTATGGGGACTTGGTTCACTTTGTTTCTCTACATGTATGTCTTTTCCTTCTTTCGTTTTCTTTTTTCCATCAATGTATCTTAGCATGAATGGGCATTCCGGGCTGATCGTAATAAGTTGCAGATCAAAAGTTTGGACCAATCCCAATTTATCACCATTTTTCCTGCTTCCAAATTATACATCTATGATTACAATGAACTAACATCAAACTTAGCTCTCCTTCCTTTTACGGGGAACTCTGTAGGGATTACCAACAAGCTTCACACTACACACAAAGACTTGTTATATATCGAGCTCTAATATTTAAATACAAGCATGATCTATCGCTAACTAATGAGTTCGTGGTCCGTAAGACTTAGTTTTTATTAATTGTTTGTATTTTATTTTCTTAATTTGTTTTTAATTTAAACTGTACACATCATTGACATGATATAATTTGGATTTCAAAATCACCTTAAATTGGAATCAAACGATTTGAGTTGACCAAATTATTTAGAGATCAGCTTAGATTTACCAAATATTAAAACTTCAAAAACCTCCCATTAAAATAATAAAAGGAAATAGAGCACGAGAGGTCATTGTTCGTATTTGAAAAATGAATATCTATTCTGGAGGCTTATTTGGATCAAAATAACAGTACATTTTTCTAGTAAATTTTAATTAATAAGTTATTATTCGGATTTGACTCAAACACGCTCTTTGACCCCACCACAACGGCAAAACCTCCTCTGCCTTTTCCCGATCCTACGACGACATCTTCTCATTCCCTCAAACACAGTACAGTCACTGTCCACCGCTTTATCCTGTCACAAAACCCCACCCTTTCACACCCACTCCTTTTTCACCTCTCACCTCCTACTCAGGTTAAAGCGCCAGAAAACTCTTTTTAAGCCCTCAAATTCTACACAAATTCCCAACTCCACCCCCAAAATCTTCTTCCTATGTAATCTCGCATTTAATTTTCAAAAAATCGTTATACTCTCTACTTCCCGTCTCTCGAGTCCCTTGAGCTCCTTCCTTCAATTCACTTGCCATCTTTTTTTTTTTTTCCTGGGTTTTGCCTGTTCCTGGCAATTATATTCGCTTCTTGGAATTGACCGTACGTTTCTTGATTTCATTCTTCTGGTTTCTTGAAGAACAAGTCATCACCAGCTTGTATATATAATAACACAATGAGTCAGTTCATGTGATCCTTTTATGTTTTTGCTTTTAAGTACTGCCTTCATATGTTAATTAATAATTTTTTATGCTTTGACCTCTAATTATGTGTGTGTATATACACACGCTTTTTCCCACCTTAAAGATTTTTTTTTTAATTCTGTTTGGTTGGTGAGAAAATGTGGGGAAAGGATGGAAATAATAGAAAAATACATCTTTAAAGTTCATGTTTTCCCATCAAATTATATTTTCCTTATGAGATTATACGTCTTTGAAGCTAGAAAGTTCTTTCTTGCTTATATTTTCTCCGGTGTCTGCTATGTTAGGTATTTCTTTAAATAAAAATACTTTCTTCTTTTCCGATTCTTGATGAAAGGATTAATTTGTTTTACTACTAAAACACAAGAATTCAGGGAAGTTCTTTATTAGTTCTATACTAATTTAAAGATTAATCATAGAATGTTTTTACGCTGGAATCCGAATTTGTCTCGTACTTCCTTACTAGCGTCTCAAAATCTCCGGAACAGATTCTTTTTCTCTTTTCTTAAGGATTCCTAGCTTTCTTTTCTTATATATAAGCACCATACCATGTTCTAATCTCTCTCATTGACTCCTCTTATTAATTTTTTTTCTCTTACGATTTCTCTCTCCTCCATTGAATTCAGATTGTCTTTCTTTGTTCTAAATTCAAAAAATTTGAGATGGGCTCCTTTTGTTTTCTGTAAAAGAGAATTATTTGTATTCAGTATTTTATTTCTTGTAGAATTGTGTTTAATTCTACTGAAATTAGATTTTGGTTTGTTAAATTATGTGTGAAGGGCCTAATCAGTCGAAAAAATGGCAGACTGTGGCTCCATTGTCTCCCATGGAAAGTAGTTCTTTTACTAAAGATATGAGCAACTGTATTGATAGCGAGCATTCCTTTTCCTCCTTGCTTGAGTTTGCGGCAGATAACGATGTTGAGGGTTTCAAGCGATCAGTGTTTGATGAATCTGAGGTTAAGGAGGTTGGAGTGTGGTACGGTCGCCAGGGGGCATCGAGGAAGATGGTTCTCGAGCAGAGAACACCTTTAATGATGGCTGCTAAATATGGAAGTGTCGATATTGTGAAGTTAATCCTTTCCCAGCCCGAGGTAGATGTAAATTTCTGTTGTGGCCCCGATAAGAGCACTGCTCTTCATTGTGCTGCTTCTGGTGGATCTGTTAATGCCATCAATGTTATCAAGTTGCTATTACTTGCAGGTGCTGATACTAAGGCCGCTGATGCCAATGGCTGCCGCCCAGTTGATGTTATTGTTGCTCCCTCAAAATTTCCTGACCTGAAAACTGCACTTGAAGAACTGTTGAAAAACGGTTCTGTCTGTCAATGGGATATGAAGCCGGTTTCAAGTCCTAGTTTGAGATCCAGCTCACCTTCTTTGTCATCATCAACCGATGAAGGTTCCTTGTCCTCTCCCTCGGATTCTATACTGTTGCCAGTTATCCGGAAGCCTAATGATGTACAGGTTTCTTCTGCTAAGAAAGAATACCCCGCTGATCCAACTATTCCTGACATTAAGAACAGCGTTTATGCCAGCGATGAGTTTAGGATGTTCTCCTTTAAGATCCGACCTTGTTCCCGGGCCTATGCCCATGACTGGACCGAGTGTCCTTTTGTTCATCCAGGTGAGAATGCAAGGAGAAGAGACCCGAGGAAGTTCCATTACAGTTGTGTGCCATGTCCAGATCACAGGAAGGGGACATGTAGGCGTGGGGATTTGTGTGAATATGCTCATGGGATTTTCGAGTGCTGGCTACACCCTACCCAATACAAGACTCGACTTTGCAAGGAAGGCAGAAGTTGCAAGCGTCGGGTGTGTTTCTTTGCTCACACATCTGATGAACGGAGACCCCTTAATATGTTTACTGGAGCTGCAGTCTCATCCTCTAAAGTAGATGCTATGGATTTCGCTGCAGCCTCGAACTTGTCACCTAGCTCCCCTTCAGCATTTTCGCCCACATCACCTTCTACATTCCCTCCACTGAAGCATCTTTCCAGCAAAAATCCACACTCATCTGTGCCTTGGCCTCAGCAAACTATCCTAAATGTGCATAACAGTCTTCAAGCAAGTCGTCTGAGAAGTTCTCTCAGTGCAAGAGACATTTCACCCGAGGAGCTTAATGGCTCATGGGATTTTGGATTGCAGCAACATCTGCCCCTAAACGATCCATCCTCTCTAGCTCAGCCATATTACAGTGGTTCCTGTACCAATCCTTTTTCTTCTTCAAACACCTTGAATCACTCAAATCTAGACCAGATTTTCTCTGCAAATGTCTCATCTCCTCGGCACGCTGAGCAACTGGGTGGTGCTGCAGTTGTTTTCTCTCCCACATGTCCACCATCAGCTCTTAATCAACTGCAGCAGCATCAGCAAAGCATGGTATCTCCAATGCAAGGGATGTCACCTTATATCAATGATCCTTTGTCCTCTATAGGCTTTCAGCTATCTGCTCATGTTCGCCGAGAGAAGATGCTACAGAAATTACAAAGTAGCATACTCTCAAAGAATTTTGGTTCTAAGCCATCATATGACCTTGGATCCAGCGGTACAAATTCATGGTCAATAAGGGAAGCTGAGAAAAGGAATGTGGATAGGTTTGTTCAAGCAGATGTAATGGGTCAGTTACACACATCATGTTCAATCGAGCATGATGGAGAGGAGCCTGATGTCTCATGGGTTCATTCAGTGTTAAAGGACTCGCCATACGAAGTGAAAGAGACAACTGCTATTCCAGTCTCAAGTACCCTTGATGGCTCTTCTGCAAATACTCATATTGAATCCAGTGATCATGCGGCCTTGCGAGCCTGGCTTGAGGGGTTGCAGCTTGATCAGACAGTTGCCTAGGGAAAATTCAAATACATATACAGTTATAGCTGAATTTCAGGTTTATTACTTGGTGCTATCAGAGTTAAGTAAGGTAGCCGTAATGGTAATGGTATGAGCTCAAAGGAGGAAAAGGTGCAGAGAAGAAATTCTCCATTCATTCGTTTATTTTGCTTTTGAAATTATTACAGAGGACTTCGTGAAGGCTAGATTCTTGTGGGGGTATTTTCTGCAACGGTCCAGCTCCAATTAGATTCATCTGAAAATTTTCATTTTTTCAGGCTCATAATTCCATTTTGTTTAGAATATGGGTTATGTGTTTCTCTTTTTTGCAGGGATGATGCAATGGCCTTGTGTTGCTCTCCCATTTTACATAATTTATCTGTTCTTGTTGCTGTCATCTGAGGTTGTTTTCTATTGAAATTGAACAAATTTTGAGACTGTAATTAATAAAATTGCATTTATACTAATTAATCAATAATACTTCTTCTGTCAATCTTTTTGGTTTTTGTTATTCCTTCTTTAGTTCCTTATGCGTTTACTTTTCTTCTCCTTTTGTATGCTTCTATATCTGCTCCATCCGAATCTATTATGAGGTGGATCCAAGTGGATGGCTGATTTGGGATATTGGGTTGGAAAAGTTGAAGCATTTACATCTATTCTTTCCATCTTTATTAGAAGATGAGATATGGGGATGAGGAAATTCTTATCCCATGAAACTAAGATGTGATGTGGAACCTACCTTTCAGACTGTGGAGCATTAAGGTATCATGTACCATCCGTGATGGCTGATGCCTCCTTTAGTTGATCAGTTTTTGTTGTATTGGGAATTCTTGGAACTATGATGTTACTTGTGGGGCAAGTCTGGATTGATCTTGATAGGTTGCCTAATATTGTTGCTAAGTTGTAAGGTTAGAGAGGGTAATGGACATTAATTATATATAGTTGGGGTTAGTGACTCTTTATGTGCCTTTGATGGTTCAGTTTGCAGTTGTATTTGGTATTATGAATTGCTCCAAAGATTTCTAAACAAGGAAGAGTTTGAACTCAAAGTTTAGAACACTCAACTCGTATCCATTTGCTCAACTTCAGGAAACAGTCTTAAATCCTGTCCTAATCGTCCAACAAATTCCTGTTTTTGGTGGCTGGTAGAAGGTACTTATAATTGCGGATTTCTAAGGTAATTGATGGATACTTTTTATTTTTTTATTTTTTCTGTTCCTTCGTGATTTTCTTTTCAACAACGTTATTTTGATCAACCTAGCTAACCGGATCTCCTTTTCCCCCCAGTTGTTCAATTGTTAGATGATCAGTAAGCTTGATACGTTACTGGTGGAAAAAAGGTCTTCAGAAAGTATTTTAGGTTTGCATTTGGTGTCAAAACCATGTTTGGAACAAATTCTAAAACATAATTTCACCAATTCTTTACAAATCGATTTTGTTTGAGATTAGATTTCAACTCTAGACTTTGAGATATTGTAATTGGGCCAAATGAGCGAATTTCATACCCACCGGAGTAAAACCAGTCCAATTGTCATTTACATCAATGACCTTTTATGCTTTGGTTTCCCAGCAAAGAAAGGACAGATAGGTCTTGGGATGGTAAGCTAGTTTTGATAGAAAGGAATATAAGCAGTGAACTGCTTTTGAAAGCCAGGCAAACATGATTGAACTTTAGACCCTTGGCATTGGTAATACTTGACTAGCAACAATAGAACTAAGTTTGTAGAAAAGAGCCAAACAATTTCAATTTGGATGTCAAGAAAGGATGACATAAATGGCTTCAATCTAGCACACAATTTAAGACTAACAACCAAGAAAGTGCTCAACATATGTGAAACAAACAGTTAATCTGACCATAAATACCCAGAAGAGATGCTAATTAGATAGACTATGCTTCCTTTAATTGCTGTAAGGAAAAGTAAGCTTTCTTAAAAGTTACAACCATCATTTCCCCAAATGACATGTATTCAAATATGTGATCATTGAACCAAATATTCACAAATCTGACTGAAAATTTAGTTTAGATATATTCTGAGTTGTTTTTGTTCAAGTTAATTTCGGAATATATTGTTATTGGAGAGGATAAAGCAAATGCAATCAATGAAAAATTTGAAAGAACTAACGATAAAGCAGAGGTGCACAATGACAAAAACTGTTATAGTTTTATCGCTAAAAAAATTACAGAATACAGAATTTTCTATGGCTAAGTTCTTCACCAAAATACAACATTCACAAGCTATTACAAGTCGCACAGCTACTATCACTCTTACCAAGTTTTCATCAAACACTATGGAAGCTTCAAGTCAAATGGACAACGGTCATTTCAATGAAATAAGAGGACGTAAATCAAGATAAAGAGTCTACGAATATGATTATCAAGATGTTAATGACAAGAAAATTTTTCTTATCAACAGAAGATGCAAATCAAATTTCTACAGAAACTAATAATCATTTCAAAGATCTGACGGGTTGACAAATTTAATACTCTGATTAGATCATGATATTAATATATGAGTGTGTGCTTCATCAACATTATAATCTTATCATTATGCTCGAAGAGAAGGGATCTGAGAAGGAGCGAGAAACTTGCATGTTTTTTCAATATATAAAAGCGAGTGTACAAGATCGAAGCAAGCAAGTTTGCAATTATTATCCAACAAGGAAGAAAACTGGTGGAGATTTTTCAAGCAAATATGAAGAAGAAACGTTGATTAGATGGTCTAAAGAGCAGCAAAGACTATCAGTATTTATTTTTTCACTCCCCTCTGTACATGTTTGGTGGAATTTCTTAAAAACCTAAAACTAAATGAAAAAAATAAATAAAAAATCATATATCTTTTCTTGCAAGATGGTTGTTATTTGTGAAGGTTGGACAATGTCAAACCCTGCTATCCTGTAGACATGAGTTGCAGGGCATTGAAGAATTTGTTTATACTGTAAATTCCAATCCAACTCCAAAAATGGCTAAGACTAATGGCTTGCACAAAGAAAAAACATGCTGACGTTTTTTCCATGTGAATTTCAGTCCACTATAATATGTAAAATCAAAACTCAATGATGTTAGTATTTACTTTACTTCAGAATTTTGCACTAGGGTTTTTCACGCTTCCATATGCTTAGTTTGACCAACCTTAGTTCTGTGAGACGTAGCTGGTAATGTATTCATGACAGGTTGAAAACCATCATTAAGTGATTATATAGGAAAGAAAACTGTATAAATCTGTCTCATTATATATTACAAGTGTGAAAATAGCTTCACAGAATATTAAGGGTAAGAACAAGCTCAAGACATTAAAAAATTTGATCCTTTTATCCCTTAACCTGGAAAATATATTCCAAAAATCAGTAAATTATTAGAAAAGTTTTTTTCATATCCATGACATCTGATTAATTTGTGATTAATCAGTATAACACACAAAGTAAATAGGTCACAGAAGAGTGCTAAAAATTTATGCACAAAATTAATAAAATATAAAGAATGTTAAGATATATGTACAGCAGAAACTGTGTATGTACCTGTCATGTCCCTACAAGTGTACACACAATTAAGTTGCGACTTAATACTTGCGACCTCCTGGTTTGATTCTTGATCTCTTTCCAAATGAACCAGGTTTATGGTCAAAGGTCCTTTCAAGCTTTTCAGGAATCCCATAATCTTGTAAGATAGATATTCCACCTCTCAACAGAGAACCAGTGAATAGCAGATTTGTCTTCGCTATTACTCATGCCTCAACAATATTTTTTTGAATGAGCAGGTGCAGTGATTAAATTGTGACAGCAGCATCGATCCTGAGATATTCCCAGCAATTTAAAAATCTAAATTCACTACAATCATTAGAACGTCTCAAGTCCTAAGAGTCACCGTTGGAGATTTCCCTTCAAGCTGATTATTCAAAACACAAAACTGAGCTTCTCACTATGGCACTACATACCTGGATATTAATCTAATCCTCTTCATCATGCCATACCAAATGAAAATCAGTAACATATCCAGGTTCTCTAATCAAGGTCAACAAAGAATTCAAATTTGCATAAATTTTGTCAGATTGAGGGTGTGATGTATCTGCAGCAGTAAAACAGTGAATCTGATCCCTTATAACAATCCAACTAGTTCCTGGCGGCTTTCTTAAACCCTTCTCTTTGAGCAATGTTCTTATTTGTCTTACCTCTGACCAAAGACCTGCTTCAGCATATATATTGGATAGCAAAACATAATTTCCTGCATTTGTTGGTTCTAATTTGACAAGATTTTCAAAAATGGATGAAGCTAGTTTTGGGTTAGAATGAAGTCTACAAGCACTGAGCAGTGCTCTCCACACTGATGCATCTGGTTCAATAGGCATAGAATTGATAAATTCTCCAGCTTCATCTAAGCATCCACCACGACCAAGTAGATCAACAACACAGCCATAATGAGCAAGTGCAGGAATCATTGTAAAATCCCGAACCATGGAGTAAAAAAGCTCCAGACCCTGCTCTATCATGCCAGCATGGCGGCAAGCAGATAGAACAGACAAGAAAGTTACCTCATTTGGTTGGAAACCATCTTCTAACATCTGCTTGAAGGCAATGATGGCATCACAACCACGACCATTTGTACCATAGCCAGTTATCATGGCATTCCAAGAGATGGCATTTCTCCTTGGTAAGCTTTTAAAGATCTTCTCAGCAGTTAGCATGCTACCAGATCTTGTGTACATTGTTATTATTGCATTTGCAAGAGACAAATTTGAACCAGAAGGGGAAAACCTCCGTATTGCATAACCATGCAAGCATCGGCCTTGAGGCAGATTGGCGAGGTTGGTACATGCTGAGAGAACATTTATGATTGTGATCAAATTAGGTTCCACCTCTGAAATCATACGGTTGAAAAATAACAAAGCTTCATTTGTTTGGTTGATTTTAATGTAATTGGCAATCATAGCATTCCATGAGATCAAATCTCTGGTGAGACAGGCCTCAAAAAGACTTCTAGCTTTTGCTTCATCACCACCATTCATGTACATATCAGTGAATGCAGTGTTCAAGGGTAGATTGATTTCAAAGCCATGCTTTATCGTAAAACCATGGATGGATCGTCCTACTTTTAGACATGTTTCATCTCCACAAGTAGCAAGAAGAGATATCATTGTATGAGAGTTCGGTTTGACTTGAGATGCTTGCATGATTTGGAATAATTCCCAGGCCTCACCCTTCAAATTGGCACTGGCCAGTGCCAAGATCAAAGTGTTATATGAGATGACATCTACATCAGTCATCTCACTGAAAACTTTCCGTGCAGCTTCAACACAACTTAGATCTGTGTACATGCTCAAAAATGCATTTCCAACAGAAACATCCATTCTCATTCCACTCTTGCATGCATGAGCATGCAAGCTTTTACCCTTTTTCAAGCCATCATCTAACTCTCTACACAAAGACAGCAGAACAACAATAGTTCTTTCATCTGGGCTTATTTCTTCTTGCATTCTATTAAAAACATTAATAGCTTCTTCATAGCATCCATATTCAATATATGCAGAAATCATAGAATTCCACAAGGCAACATCACGGACTGTGGTGGTATCAAATAACTCGCATGCTAATTCTGAACTCCCAACCTCACTATACATGTTAAGCAATGCATTTACTATGAATAAATCATTACTATAGCTAAACTTAATAGCCATTTGGTGTACTGTCATCCCCAATTTGAGATACCCAAAATCTGCACATGCCTGAATCACAACCAATATTGTAACCAAATCAATCTTAATCCCATCCTCCAGTATCCGAACAAAAAGCTCCAAAGCTTTCACCGAATTCCCTGAATCAAAATATCCAGTAATCATTGCATTCCAACTCACTTCACTTCTCATAACCATGAAATCAAACACAAGACTCGAAACTCTCACATCAAAATTCAAATAGAACCCAATCAAAGCAGTACCCACATGAGGATGCATATCGAAATCTCCATTCCTCAAACAATACCCATGTATCTCCTTTCCTAACCTCAATTCCAACACCCCCTCACACGCTAGAAGCAATGCAACCAAAGTACGTGAATTTGGTACAAAACCCTCATTTTTCATCTTTCTAAACCACCCAATTGCCTCCTCATGAAAACCACAGCACACAAACCCAGATATGATTGCATTCCACGAAACCAAATCTCTATGAGTTATTTTATCAAACACTTGGTTGGCCTCTTCGAGTAACCCACATTTACAATAAAAGTTAACAACAGCTGTCCCAACTCGAACATCTGTGACCAAATTAGTACCCTGAATACTTGAATGTATCCTCCTGCCTTTCTCAACGGCATTCAGCCTCGCGCAAGCCTTGAAAATGAGAGGCAGAGTGGTGTTATTTGGTGCAATGCCTAGAGATTCCATTTGGGTATATGTAGAAAGAATGGCATGGTCATTTTTGAGCTTGGCGTGGTTTTTCATGATTGCATTCCAGTCCCTCTTAGGGTCTGCTTTGATGTTGGTTTGTTTGGGTATAAGAGAGGGTTTTTGAGGTTTAAAAGCGAGAGAAATATCCATTATCAATAACAGGTAAGAGAGGAAGATAACGGATATCGTGCTTTAAATAGGTCGTTACTGACCGTTAAATAGTCTGTTGCTTTTCCAGGCTTCTATCCATGCAAGACTGGTCGTTCAAACCTGAAACTACTGTCGTTTACATAGAAAGAAGTTGATGCAACATGCTAGCTTCTACTATCACTCTCAGCTGGGCCGCTTGCTTTACCCCCTAAACTACCATACAGAAATGTGTGAAATTTGACCTTTGTGAAACTTAAAATGCTATGGCTTAATGGATCTTTGTTGATCTTATTTTTCTCCGTTTACACTGACGAAGATATAAATATATTTGGACTGCTTCAACTTGGAGCCTTTTTACTTCTAATCTGATAATTGAGCATCTACAAATATTTTTTATGTAGAGGATGTTTTTTGAAATTCATATCATTTCATTGCATGAAGTTTCAGTAAAAAATAAAATTCATCCAATCTTCTATGCAAAGGATGAAAGGAATATAAGAAGGTTTTCCAAAATGTCATGCCATTTAACCTGAAACCAACCAAATAAAGCAGGAAAATTGACTATAGAATCAAAGTTTTATCTATGTGACAATGGAGACTGACTAAGTTGCAGGTTCATAATATGGCTGCAACGCTATTAGTTCAAAGAATAGACAAGCTGCTACGAATATCTGAGGAAGTTCCAGGGTCCTGTTCCTGTTCCTATCCTGCAAATTCAGAAGCACAAAGATTAGAATGTTTTCGATAGTTTGGAGTTGAGAATCTGAAAGAATCAGAGTTTGGAGTGGATAATGACTTTAACTTTGGTCTTTCAACTTCCACAAAAAGAATGGCACCGAGAAAACAGCAGGAAAATGTTTGTAATAAATTAATAGTAATTACCTCCAAAAGCCAGCTAAAGCACGAAGACTCATGTATATTGTGAGAGCAACCCAGATTCCAATGAACTTATGAGTAGAGGAGAGGAGAAACAAACAAAGGATGCTAACAATGGCCACCATCACCTGGAGAAGAACATGTCATTGCTACTTGTTCAGACAAATGCAAGAAAGTGTAACGCTTACAGTGGCAACCAGAAGTTTTATGCTTTCTTTTTATTTCTGTGCTTGCTCCTTCACACCCCCCCCCCCCTCTCTCTCTCCCCTCTAGGTAGCAATTTAGAATACAAATATTATCCCAATGTATAGAGGCTTGACAGATTTTTTTCCCCTCTATTAGTCCTGCATCGGGAACAAGAGAAAGCACGACCCAGTTCTTCCTTCCAAAAAAATCTCATGCAGAGAGCACGTGATTTCATAGATGATTAAAAGTTGAAACCATAAAAAATATTAATGCTCATAAGAGAGAGACTTGCCATAGAGTAGGCAGAGTATGCAAAATCAGATGCTCCAAAGTTGATACCGTCGAAAACAAATGCCAAGGTATTGATGGGTTGAGTACCTGCAACAAACTGATATGGAGGAATAATTATTAATTAGCTCCAGGATTATCTGGTGTTGAGCAGAATGGAAGTAGTAATGTTCTATTTAGAACATGTAGCTACCGGGATGCCTAAACTAATCATATGGAGGACATCAGCATCACTTGTGAATAATCTTGCTCCAAATCTCAATCCCAGTCCAAGAACAGCAGCAAGCATCAACCCCAAAAGTAATCCCAACTGCAAGTAATGTCCATCACCAGCTTTAGAGAAAAGTTAAAAACATATGTAGTTAAGAAGTAGCTCAACTGGTATTACTGTCCCCCCTCTCTCCAAGATGTCTCGAGTTCAAATCTCTCCTTCATGACAAAAGAAAAAGAAAAAAAGAAGTATCATTTATGTCGCACCTGCAATACTCGAGTTGCAGTGGCTGTTACCTTGTCATAGTCCTTTTCAGCAAAAGCACTTGCAAGTATTGCCTGAGATTAAAAGTTAAGGAAAAATTAAAGAATCTACCATACAGTATGGAAACAGTCATTTTTTATGCCTATTTTGTGGCTAAAGACACATAGCCTAACAAGTGTAAATAAACAAAAAAAGAAACAATTTGAGGTCAAAACATTACAGTTTTGTATCACTTCCTAAGCATAAAGTTGATTCTGATCTAAATTTGAAATGCTGAATGAAAGTTAGGGACTAGACAGTATGAAAATGATGGCAAGAAAGAAATTTGAGTGCATTTGGGAGATTTTGGAACACTGCAGATAAAAAAATCTGTCCACAAGATTTCTGCTCTTTATTCACTCTAAATTTCGAATTTTTGATTGAGCAAAGCAGCAAACTAAAATACAATGATTTCACTGATGGTCCTTTTTGCAGGCTCTTATGGCATTGGCATGTTAGCAGACAACAGGGTCCAAGCAAATAGTAGCACATCTTTGAGAAGTCACGCATGCAAATCATCTCTAGCAGTTGAAGTCAACGAAGAAGAAAAACCATTTCTAACCTGGCCAGCAACAGCCAATCCGTCAGCAAGAAGAGATGTAGCCAACCAAACCTGCAAGCAGATCTGAAATGCTGCCATGGATGTCGATCCTTGTCGTGCAGCTAGCGATGCAGAAAGAGTAACACAGAATGTCACAGCTACTACTCTCATCAATAATAAAAATCCTGGAGTTCAAGCAATAAAAAAAAACGAAGTTAGGAAGATTTTGATTAATACACACTACAATTAGATGATAATGTGTATTGACATAGTAAAGAAAATTTGGGCCACAGATTATGACAAAGGCATTCATGTTAGAAATGACTTGAATGAACTTTCCATCTGTTTAAGGTAAGCAGAACAATAGTCACATACTACTCACCATTTCTAAGAAATTGACCCAGCCGCAGGTGTTTGATACTAGGAGGTAAGAGATCAACTTGTTTCATTAATCTCCACAAGAGTATAACTGAAATCAGGTATCTGTAATCACCGTACATGTGTAAAGATAAGTTGGATGCTACAACATAAAGTAACTTCAAGATTTCTATATTTTAAGGGGAGAGTAGATAGATATAACTTACTGGGATATAACATGGGCAATGGCCGCACCACTGACACCCAGGCGAAAAACAAACATAAATATAGGGTCTAATATGATGTTTGTAACATCTCCAGCCACTATAAGATTGGATTAGATAAAACTAGGTATTAGAATGAGGTGATATAAACAAATTACTAAGAAAGAAAAATATTTTCTGAATTCCCTTATGTCAAAGAAGAAAGAAAAAAAAAGACATGATAACTGAAACTATTTAAATTCCAACCGGCATACCAGTGGCATATAAAGGAGTTTTTGTGTCCTTGAATCCACGGAATACCCCTTGCATGGCTAAGGAAAGGAGAACCGCAGGAGCACCAAGCGACCTTAATGTCAGGTACTGTTTTGCAGGGCTCAGCATAGGGGAATCCTGTAGAAACAAAAATTTGTCTGTTATTGATCTTCTCAAAGTAATAGATCCTGACACTTGGATGAAGACTGATTCAACAAGAAAGAAGTTAGCGGAGAGAGCTGAGATCTCTTGTTTTTTCGAACAGAAGTGCTTACAGAACCAACTCCCATGAAGTTCAGTAGTGGTTTTGCTCCAGATATGAGGAATATAGCTTGGATAAGGCCTAGAATTGTCCCAATAACCAATGCAGATGAGGCTGATGGGATGCACCTCCTCTCATTCTCAATCTTCTCAATTCCAAAGCTGCTAACAGGTGATTTTGGCTTGTATGGACCTTCTGCAGAATCTGATGGAATAGGTTGAAACAAAAGAATTAGTTAAGCTGACAAAAACATGAAGACATCATAAGAACCCCTGAAGTAGGATAGTTCTAAGAAAGAAAAACTTTTGAGACCTTGTATAAACTCAGATATAGTGGTATTTTATAAACACAAACTGAAAAGGGTAGGACATGGGATAGAGTACCATTTTGTGGTATCAACTCTTTATTTTCACTGTTAACAATAGAACCTGTTTCCAAGGATTCAGTACTATCTTGTTCTTCAGGGCTTACTCTTCCAATAGTATCTTCTTCCGCAACAAAAGAAGTTGTGACACTGACAAGAGGGAATATCGCGATTCTTGATACTTGATTAAATAGAGCAATAGAAACTCCAACAGCAGCAAGTTCTACTGGACCTGAATGATTATGAGAAACTGGAGGTAAGTGTTATCATCCAAAAGGAAAAAAAAAGTGAAAATATAAACTTTCTCAGTATGGAAGAATAGGTAGAGTGAGTAGAATCTGGTTTTTCAACTGAAACCATGCAAAGCTTGTTTTCATTCATAAATGTCAGAACATTAGGTCAGCCAACATAACGTAGAGCTGCATTCTCAACTATGGATCACACATGCAGCACAAGCTAGTGTACCGTTCCACATGGAAAAAAGCGATCACTTGAGCTTGTCACCTGTCCAAGAATATGATTATGGAGGTATGGACTAATCAAGAAGCCAAGACATGCAAACATTTAATTGGCAACGGTAAGCTCTATGAAATTTATTCATAGCAACTATATGGCACATTCCAGAAAGAATCACTTTAATTTTCCATCCCTTTATGTGGCTAAGCCAGAGTAAATAGGAATAAAATGATTGCGTGTACAATAAAAAGGAAAAGAAAAAAGTGGACATGCGCATGATCAAAAGGAATACCTATTTGGCCGATAAATGCTGTGTCAACCAGAGAGGCAATTGGGTCAGCTGTCAAAGCCAGAGCTGCAGGAAATGCTATTTGTGCTATTTCTAACCCAAGTTCATCCAATTTAAGAACATATCTGCTCATAATATAGGAGAATAAGATAAATTATTTAAATATCTCCTAAGAGAAGAAAATAAAGGTTCATATGACAACTTAAAATTCCAATGATGCGACGGAAAATAGCCAAAGTGAGCGTTGATTTTATCAAGGACTCTAAATCCAGCATTTGCTAGAATATCCATCTGATGGTTTTTGAAGGAAAAAAACAGAAGGAAAAAAACAAAAGCAGCCTGCAGAAACAAGGTGATACTTGGAAGGAAATATATATGAGCCAATCCAACCACATCAGCAAAGCGGTGGAAAACATAAATGTTTTTGTCAAGAACATGTAAGCCACCTCTTCGAATAAAGATAGTTTTGGTTTCATAATGGCATGATGGAAAGAGTACATATAAAAAGAAATCAATAAAGTTTCAATCTATAAAGCTGAAACAACAATAAATACCTGATATCCTTAAAGAAAATGCAAATGGGAGTTCTCTTCGTGTCCATTGGTGGATATGAATCATCTTCATCAGCCATCAATGGACCACTCGAATCACTAAATTGCGTTTGAGAGGAAGCTGCTAAACTGTGGGTTACAACTTACAAGCTGTCCACAGGAAGCAGATTAAGCAAGTGTTGTGATAAGGAAGCATATCTCGCAGATTGAGCTCCAAATCTGCAGATTCCAACATTTAGTTCATGTTATTAATTACTTGAAAAATGCAGCCCATAATATCAAATCAAACCAGAAAAGGGAAATCATCATATTCAGTTCTGCTAAGTGGAAGCAAGTATCCACTAGAAAATTAAAGCAGAAAACTGGATTGCAGTGGACAATCAAGAACAGAACAGTATAGAAATGAAAAATAACAGCAAGTGAAGAAAATAAATACAACTGGAAATTTGGATTTAATTTATATTCTTCTAAATCAGGTATCAAAATCAAAATTGAATTTTCCACTACCATTGAAATTGAAGATTAAAGCTCATGCAAAATGTACTACAGCCTGGAAGCCTAACAAACCAAGAAGTTTCCTCAAGCTCATACTTTAATGACCCTGGAAACCTCAAAATCAAACCATCAAAACTATGCTTCAATTTCTTAGTGAAAAGGAAAAGAAACGGCACTAAATTTTCCTAGGTAGGCAAAGAAATATGGATACATCATACATGTGCATGCTACGGGAAGACAATTCAGCTTTGAAACTTCCTCATCATTAACATCAAACCATCCACCAATTCAAAGCTCAAAAGAAAATGAGGCATCGAACTTCCAAAAGAATGGAGACCCTTCTCCTAGTAGGTAGGTAGGCAAAGTGATGGATTGCATTTTTCAAAATTCTAACTCCAACGACACCTAGTTAAATTCTAACAGCAAGTCAAGCCCAGGAATAAGGTCTATTATCTCACTTTCATGAAGACTTTTCCAGCCTACAATAATTTGAAACCGATCATTTATGATGGTTTGCAGAATGGAAACCCCCAAAAACCAATGAAAATACAACAGTCACCTACCTCAAGCTCCAGCCTCCAAGACAAAAGCAGCACTGTCTTTCTCGATCACTGACACCTGTAATAGAAAAGCAAACGCTCCAACTTCAACCTCAACCTCAACCTCAAAACCAAGTGCATGTGTCTGTGAGAGAGAGAGAGAGAGAGAGGGAGGGAGGGAGGGGGGAGAGACAGGGGGAGAGAATATTTGATTATTTATTCTCTTGAGAGAGCACTTTCACGGCCACAAAAGTGGCACTACTTACATAATTGGAGGGGCCCTCCATTGAATGAAAAGCGGCAGATTCTGAAGTCGAACAGGTGAGAGAACATGTGTCATTATCGGATTCACGAGCAAGAAAACCCTCTAGTTTTTGCATTAAAATCTTCTAAAGCTCCACTGCATGCATATGAACTGGCTGCCAAATGTCCATGCATGCAGCAACTTCTTAAAAGCCGTGGATAATCAGTTTCTCTTGGAGATGGAACTCATGGGATGCATTTACTGATAATGATCGGAGAAAACGGAGAGGTCCGTCTACTTAATTAGATTAGACTGTGCCCATGTCATATGTCATATCAACATTACTGGATTTACTATTTCATTCAAATTTAATGATTTTGATAATTAACCACATGGATTATACTCAAAATATAGACAAGATGGTCATTTTCACTTAATTCTACTAAGATCTTGTTTGTTTGTCTGAAAATAGATTTCTTTTGGAAAGTGAATTTTAAGAAAAACAATTTTCGAGAAATAGATTAATTTCAGATATTTAGTTGTGTCATGAAAAATAAATTGAAAACTATTTTCCCATATTTAATAGTATCATATAAAATAAGCTTGAGAAAATAACACCTTTTGAGTTATTAATATTTTTATCACCATAAAATACTTTTTAATCTCTGGTGAACAATATTGTAAATAGATTTTTTTCTCCTATGGTATCCTATTTTTTATAATATAACTTTTATGATTTAAAATATATAAGTATTGTATAATATAACGTATTGTATATTAGAATGTATATTCTACCAATATAATCTAAATTAAAGCATCAGTACATACATTAATTTAATAAAATAATATAATTTTGTATATTATATATTGACATATCTTAATGCATTATTTTTATATAAATATATTAGTAATTTGTTGTTTTCTAATAATATCATATATTGTCAAATATTTATTAATATATTCATGTTTTTATATATAAAAATAATAGAATGTTGTATCCCTTTGGTTTTGAGTTCTTCATAGAAAGTGTTTTTCGCTCTTTTACATCGAAAAACTCTTTCCTCTCTTTAGATATTAATTTTTCATTTGACTGAAAAGTGAATTTTATTGATCAATTTTTTAAAATGCAGTTAAACACGAAAACGTCAATTAAGAAGTATTTTTCAGACAAACTCTTCTTTAACAAACCAACAAAACATAAGACAGTGAAATTAGTGGGGAAAAAAAAAAACACCTCTAAAAGCATCAATTTAATATTATTTTTTTAGCCAAAATTATTTAGAAAACCAATTCTAATTACCTTACTAAACATACATCAATTACTCTTCTGAATTGTCTATGGTAAAGAAATTAAGGAAAAATGAACTGTTCTATAACACCCGTTTGGAAGTTTCAAATCTTAGAATTGCAAGACGGACGAACGAGTAGAAACGAGGGTTTTCAGATTTATGTAATTTTTCTTTACTTTGATAAGTTTGAGTCAAGGACTAGATTTGAGCATAATATCAGACCAACAAATTGCTAATTAAGAACCAAATACTTGGTGGCCACATGCAATTTCCTAAAATCTTTTGTAAATGTGTCAACAGATTAAAGCAAAAGTAAAAAACAGGTAAAGCAATTGTTCAAATTATTTTCTCAACTACTCTAACTACTGCTAAGTAGATGTAGATTAATTGTGGTGGATGTTTCGGGGATTTGTTAGGTTGGAATTATAATTAGGAAAAAGATGATGAGGAAATTATATATGCATGTTAGTTGAACTAATTAAATTAGACAGAGAAATTAACCAGAATTTTGGAATTTGAAAGGTACTGCTTTTTGATACGTTAATTAAGATTTCATTAAGACCATCATTCCGTTTACTTTCCGCAAAAAGATGCTGTCTTGAAAATGAATAAAAAGAAAAGGTATGATGCCTTGGTTTGCAACAACATATAATATGCCCAAACTTCTGATCAATCCTTTGATCGAATTTCCTGAATATATATTTCTATTAAATAGCGACACAAGAGTTGGACGTATTTAATTTTTATATAACACGTTCTAAAATAGTTGCAAAAATGACCAGAGAAGCAACAAATCAACCTCCACGTACGATATTAGGAATTATTCGATTTTTTTCACTTTAATTTCTCTTTTACAAAACAGAAGAGTTATATCCCTGTGTAATTTTCATAACAAGAATTATGTTTATTTGCTATGCATATATAAAGTTGAAACCTTCATGGACACTCTTTTATCAATTTGACACGTTGATGTTTTTGAAGTTTAGCACTGCAGATTTATTTTTTATTTTTTTTCCAATTTAAATGTGTTTTGAGTATTTTTGGAATGTAAAAGTTACAATATCAATTAATTGAATCGTATCATTAATTATATTTTCTTTTTGAGAATTCATTAATTGTGATTACCATTTGCACATTTTTATCATTAATTTTACTGCCCAACGTAAAATAATAAGACTCATTAAGTTAACGTTTTTATTTTTCTCCATGAAGGTTCTAGGGAATAATAATAGAAAGGAATAAGCAAAATTAGGTCAATCAGTGTTGGAGGAGGGTTAACAATTTTGACACGTGGGTGATAATAAAAAGAAATCAACTAAAAAGAAAAATGGAGACATCGAGAGGCAAGATTGAGGAGGAGGATGAGAGTTTTAAGTTCGGATTTTATGGTTTTTGATGATTTCAGATTTTTAACGACAGCTATGTGTGCTAGTCGGATTTTTAACCCCTATAAAGAGGTGTCAAAAGACTAATAAATTTTAAGTGATTAAAACCAAAAAAAAAAAAAAAAAAAAAAAAAAACCAACAAGCAACATTATCAAGTACTTGTGTGTATTTCTTTTATGAGTTAATAATTTTGATCATTCATAGAAGAGACTCTTGGGGCATTTTTTTTTTCTACTCCGACATGATCTATAAGTTACAAAAATATTATTGTCGATAGAAGTCCATTCTCGACATGTTATGTTTTGCATACTAAAAAAGAAACTCACCTTGTGTTGTATTTTTTCTCACGACGAGATATCTTGCAAGAAAAAAAGACGTTGCATTTTGTATGATGGTTTGGGTATCACCAACAAATGACAAGGAATACCCATTCACTACTTAAAATTTTTTTTTAAAAAAAAACAGTAATTTAGCGACAATTAATAGCTACATAGTGATGGACTAGAGCAAGATTTTTGATTGTCATCAACATATGGATGCTAGCAACGGACTATCGACCGATTTATGACGGATCCTCAACGACGGATGTGATCCATCGTTAAATAAGACGGTTAAATATTTATGGTTGTTTCAAAAAGGGATTATAAACGGAATTGCAAGGAAATTTAACGACATATCTTCCCTAATTGGATTTTCGAATCATAGACGAATTATATGATGTTGACAACCATTTCTCATATATTTTATTATTTTCTATAAGTATCAACTATGTATGCAAATTATATTCATAATCCGCTATCCGTTCAAGACAAACTAGGAAAAAATAAAAAACAAAATCACATGGAATAAATCTAGACAAATGTGATCAACAAATGTCCACCGCTTAGGATAAATTTGTATAGAATAGAGTCGACTAAATCGATGAAAAAACAAAAAGAAGCCTAAAAATAGTTATAGGGGGAGAAGAAAAGAAAAAAAAGAGAGAAAAAATTGGTGGATCGGACCACCACCACGTAGTGGACAACCAATACCTCCTTGATTGGAGAAGCCAATATCACTCGTTGAGGCAACATTTTGCTACTACTCGATGCCGAGGCTTGTAGAGAGAGGTTCGGCCATGCCTCACCATGTGCCTCCACTCACCTCGCTAGTATTCTTCCTTTTCAATCCTTCAAATTTTTATTGCCCTTTAGTTATGATCTTAAATTTGAGCTTAGCTTTTAAATTAGTCTCCAAGTTCGTCCACCACCATTGTCAATTCTTGATTTTGTTTATATAACAAAACTTGGTACTATGCTCCCATCTTTACATTTGAGTTCTTTCATCCCCCTTCGGAGGGCCCATCTCTCCTTAAGGATTCCTCCTTCATGTTTGGGTTTGCTCCATCTCTCTTTCTTGGAGGTCTATCCCTCCTCGTGGATTTCTCTCCCATGTTTGAGATCCTTCATCCCTTTCGAAGGATCCATACCTCCTCGGAGATTCCTCTCTTACGTTCGGATTCCTCCATCCATCTTTAAGGATTCTTCCATCCCTTCTTAAGGATTCCTTCTTCATGTTCGAGTTCCTCCATTTCTCTCTAGGGGTCCATCCCTCCTCATAGATTCCTCTCCCATATCCAGGTTTTTTATCCCACTCTGGGGTCCATTCGTCTAGGATCATCCTCTCTTTAGAGTCCATCTCCATGCTTCGAATCCTCTTCCCTTTAAAGAGTCCATCCCTTTTTAGAGATTTCACCTTCGAAATATAGTCTATGTGTTCCATTGCGGACAATAGGTTCGAATCCAATCTAAGAATTTTAGAAGAACAAAAGTTTAGACAATGTATTCAAATTTGACATAAGAGTTTCAAAGGAACAAAAGTGCAAACAACAATTTGAATCTAGACCGAGAGTTCTTGAGGAACATAAGTGTAGATAACATATTCGAATCTAGTTTGAGAGTTCTAAAGGAATAAAAATGTCGACACATAAACAAATCCAAAGTCTCGCAGTTTCAAATAAACAATGGATAAACATAAGTACATTTCTTTGATAATCTCCAGCTCTTGTGAGGATATACAACTACGTGTTTTCTAAAAAACTTACGACGCCATTCTCAATTATTCTTAGAATACATTCCTCTAAGAATTGATAATCATGATATCTTCAAAGCCTTGAACTCGTCCAAATTACATCATACCATAACAACATTTGTCTCAAGCCAAGTGAGTCTCGCTTTAAGATAGAAAGGTAACTAATGAGGTATGAAATTTAGGCTTTCCCACAAAACTCGACCAAATCTAACCCTTCTCACAATAATGAACCCTCTTTCTTATAACCTTGTAGACTCTTGGCCCAACACGTTAAAAGTATACCTCATATCTTATATTCTCTACTCGTATAAAAGGATTTGTTCCCCCATAAAACATAGGTCCAAAGACTTCAACTTGAATAACTTCTACACACATATACATATTTACAAAGAATCATATCTCTAATATCTATACAGTATGCTTAAACTACTGACTTAACCATCAAAGTGGTTTTGCCAAGTATCCCTCTAGAACTATTAACACCGATGCTTGTATAATTTCAAACGACACTATTAGTATTTTTTCAATTCCTTCAAGAAAGTTGAATATCAAGTATAATAAATTTAGTTGCTATAACTTCACTCATCGTTACTTGTTTTTCTATTTTTATTTTTTTACTTTTAAAAAGGAAAAGTTATTTGCTTAAAATAATTTTCTCCATATGTTTATTGAGCGTTTTTCTTTATTTTCCAGAAAATTCTTAGCCCTTCCAAGTCCCAACTCTTCAACCTTAGCTAGACAGCATTTTTTAAGTCCTATCACATTGAATAAGAATGGTCCCTTTATTTTCTGTTCACTTTATCCTACCTAAAGAAATAATCAATCAAGAGCGTACCCAATCAACCTTTTTCTAATCCAACTCTCACTCTTTCAATTGTAACGTAATAATCACTGGGTATACAAAGATTCCTAAATCCAACTTGGCTTTAATTTGTATGTTTTGTTATGAAAGGAAGGATATCATCGTGGTCCATGTTGGATTGCAAATTCATGGTTCGTAAGTTGTCCACGACCTATGATAAGAAGGTTTGTGTTCTTTCATGGATTTCTGATTTTACTTAGGCGGATCCCAATTTTCGCTTACCAAAACCTTCCATGAACAGGATTCTGTCCCTCACTAAGTTATCTTCAAATTTTCAAGATACGCACATTTTATCTCTCTGAAAAATCTAATCAAGCAATTCTAGCCCCACTTCAGTTGCTAATAAAGAAGATATCCTCAGTGTCTTAGCTTCATATTGCGCTTGGCTAGTGCTGACTTAAGGTATATTACGCACTTTGTATTTCCTTCTTTTCACCTTTCTTTTTCTTTCTTTTCACCTTTCTTTCAATTTCAGTAGATTGGATTATCTATCCCCTTTCATTGTATAAAATATTTTGCTATGCTAGATGGAATGAACTTCGGCTTCAAATGTGTAGTGTTTGGCAATGATATCCATGAAAAATACTCGTTCCGAGCCCTAAGTACTTCAAGAACAATGGCTAGGAGAAAAAAATCGTGCCCATAAGAATATGCCTTTTGCTTAAGGTTACTTAGATATCAAATCAGCTATACTCGACTCTAATGTATTTAATTACTATGTAAAAGAAAAGAACTACCACCATTTTATAATTCAAGAGTCGCTGCCTACTAATTAAGCAAAAAGAAAAAAATACAATTAAAAATAAAAAAAACAAACATCAGCTGCTTTATCACGTACTAATTGGCTCTGGACCCAAATATGCCAAGCCTAACGGACGGGGAATGAAAGCAATGCCACTACGCACGGAGAATCTCAACTCGCGTCGAATCAGCAAATGGGCATAGCATATTATGATCAGTCGATGAATAACAGTCACAACCAAACATGTTGAGCAATTGTCAACGAAAACATTGTACGGGAAATTCCAATAAATTGGCGACAGACTTGAATCTGTCGAGTCATGGACATCAATAAAATGCAATTATGAAAAATCAATACCTCTTTAGAAGGAAAAAAAAGTTGGAATGTATTTAACACCTTCACAGCAATCATGAGTCTTCAAGTAAATTTCCAACCACTTGATTAAAAAAAAAAAAAAGAAAAAGCAAATCTCCAAGCAAAAGAGTATGTCTCCATGATCATCCCTTCCTCGCTCCACCAAGAAACTAGGTATAGAGACGGAAAGAAGGTATTCAGGCATCAGGATTTCTATGTAATGAATTGCAGGCAGTTGTTATGCCATGTCAAAAATACTGGTACAAGTTCTGATTTTTGCTCTAATAACACCATGCGTATACCATCTTTCCAACCGAGGTCATGAAAAAGAATTATTTCTAACAAAAAGAATTAGAAACAAAAGTTAAACAACCTCTCACCAGACAGTAAATCAAGATGTGAAATTCTCATCTGAGGGTGAAAAAGAATGGGGATACTAAATTTTGGGTCGGCGAATTTTCATGATCACCCCTCTACCACAAGCCAATGAACTTCCACCAAACTCCTCCAACCCCAAGCCAGATGATAATGTTGACAACGGATATGAGGAACCCATAGCCCCACCATTTAGCTAAAGGTACATAGTTGGCACCATAGAAAACAGGTGCGGATCCAATTCCATAGTGTGTAAGGCCACCCATGAGGTTGGAAAGGAAGGAGAGCACCATGGCTCCAAAATATGGAGGAGTACCTAGAGCACTGGCAACAGACAGGAATGCTGTAAACATGGCACCAATGTGAGCTGCACCACTGGCAAAGAAGTAGTGGGAGTAGAAGTAGAGGAGAACCAAAATGCCGAAAGATAGCTGCCACGATAGACCAAGTCCACCAACAAACTGTAAAAAGTGCAACTAGTTAACAGCAAGTACTCCGTGGTCAATACTTAATTCTAATGCTTTGTAGAAATTCACAAGCTCACTATGCATTCATCTTGCGGAAAGTTTGTTCTTTAAAAAAAAAATTTTTCTGCTGCGGAAGTCAACATGCAAGAAGGCCACTTAAGCATATGATAAGTATAAGCACTCAATTATAATCGGAAACAACCATGCACAATGAGAAACCAGTAAGAGGAAAAACACAAACCTTAACTACAGTTTGGCTGAACCAGGAGATGAGACCATATTTGTTAAGGTATCCAGCCATGGCAATGAGGGCAGCAAACCATGTCAGGGTATCCCAAGCAACTGATTCAGCTAAACACTCCTTCCACGTCACAACGCCAGTGGTTAGGAGGACAGACAATCCAAGAATAGCAGCAGTAACAGCATCCACATTCAGCATCCCTCCAAAAATCCAGAGTCCCACCTAATTTGAGAAGAAATAAAGACATGACAGAATCAATAAACATGCAAAGCAGCATAGAGAATTCACGACAGCAAAAACACATAAAATACATCAGCTAAATTATTAACGCGGTGCAAAAAAGAGAGAGGGGGGGGGGGTTTTGGAAGTGAATGGCTTAGAGCAAAACAGAAAGAAATTGCATTTTGCATCATATAGTGCTCGCTCAGCTGTCAAAGTTTTGTTGTGAGAGAGCATAACATCTGAATGAAAACTAGGTAAACAAATTTAGGTACATACTTTTGAAAGCAATGTACTGTCTGCATCAACCAACAGCATATACCTCAACTATTCAAACGTTGATAATCCAATTGGCTGCATGACATCACAAATCCCTCAATTCAACCTAATGGACTCAGTCTTTGATAAACCCTATGAAAGAAAGAAAAAACTGGGTGTGGTCTGAAAATCTTCAAAATCCCATCTAATATAGGCAATGAACGCAGATTTACAACATAAGAAACAGTTGAAATCCAAGGTCCCAACCTAATTTGTCTAACTCCCCCAGTGTCCTCGCAAGGCAATGCACTCCAACTCCGACCTATATAGGAGATTTCTTCAACAAAAATGCAAACCAAAATGGAATTTTTGTGAAAACCAACTGCTCAACTACTACCAAAGAGTGATAAATGGAGATTAAAGTCGGTTAGGACGATACTCCTTTAAGAGGAGCTTGACAGGGCGTTGGCTGCCAAGTTAAGTAAATATATCTCGCACCAAAGATTCCAAACTCAAAACAACAAACTCTCCTTCAAAAAGAACCTCAAGTGAGCATGAGAAAGCATCAAGATAATTAACCTAAACCTTGAATTAGCTGTGAAGTTGGTAAATTTAAAACTGCCCAATTACAAACATTAAGTTCCTCCAAGCTTATCTCCTGAAAAACACATGTAACATCCTCAATATCTCACAAAAGAACCTAGTGCCTAAACCGTTGCTACTTCAGTGGCTACGAACAGAGTTCATTTAGATTAAACTCGCAATGCTATATAAGAACTCCATGTAGCTCAAACATTCTCTAGCCCTTAAGGAGACACTATTGTCCTAACACTCTGGCAAAGAACATTAGCATACCTTTCAGTTGCTCCAAATCATTCCTCTATACCTTGACTATTTTGTATAGTTATTATATATGTCAGTTCCATGAACCACTACCAAAGGTGATACAACTTTACCAGTGTGAAAGGCTCAAAATTCCCATGAGCACAAATGACCCAACACAGACAGAGACACTCAATGACGATTTTCATGCCAACACATAATTAATATATTCTCCAAAATGACTGATAAAAATACAAGACACTCAACTAACGTGCTATGAAAAAAGACAGAAATTTTAATGCTAACATGCTAGTTTCTGCCTAAACAATGGCCACAGCACTAGTAGCATCACTGCATTTAAACCAAGAAACAAACTGAACTATGCATAAGCATCAACAGAAGTTGGATTAAACTTACAGTGGAAAATGTGCTACAATTAGACGAAGAGCCTATGCCATTTAACAACAATATCAAGCAGAGGCCACGCCATTTAGCATAACGATATTTGTTCCAAACAGAATAAAATTAAGAAGGCAGGTTTAAAAACAAAATTTAAGCAGATTTGAATACAAAGGCAAACTATACTGTGAGAAGCACGGTACCAGCCATAATAATTTCATTTCCGAGATACCAACCCATCTAAACTCTTAAGTTCAAATGCCAAACTCAAGAAAATGCAAATATGCCTCTAAAAGTAGTTCAACCGGGGAAAAATCACCTAAGCACTAAGGAAAGATCAAGCAAGTGCTAAGAATATCTCCCTGGGCCCTGAGTTGGTTGCCAAGTTGTACAGATTTATAACTCCAAATCACAGAAGTTCCTTCCTCCTTCACAAAAAACAAATCTAAAATCCCCAACCACCTGTTATCTTCAAAACCTTTTGCATCTCACAAATGTGGTGATATGAGAACATAAAATCATAATTGATTTGTTACTTTAGCAGCTACGAACAGATTTCCTTTAGATCAAAGACAAAAATAACTTTTTGAAAAGCAAATTAGCAGGACTAGAAATAATGCTACATTCATCATCAATAATGCAGACCTGGCTAAACGATTCTCTAGTCTCTAACAAAGAATCATTCCCTTAAACATTCTTGCTTACATGAAAAATATTCCAGTAACCCAAATGCCATGTAATGTAGCTCCCACAATTCTCCAAAATGTCCAAAAAACACCACCCAGCTAACAACAAATGAAACCAGAGAAGAATGGTCGCCAACAAAAAACTGACAGTCCTACATGAACAAAATCCTACCAGCTAGTCCTATCGGCACTGCGAAACAGAGTAAACTAAGCATCGGCACCAACAAATTAGATTTGCGTTCGCATGTAGTACATTCTCCATTGCGCCAAATTAAGCAGATTGCAGTAAGCAAAACAAAAGACATAAAGTAAAAACTTTAAACAGAAAAGCAAACTATACCGTGAGAAACAGAGTGCCAGCCATAATAATCTCATTAGTAGTCATAGGTCCCATCTTCTCCAACCTCTCCCTAGCCAATTTAGGTGCATCAGGACTACTCTTAACAGTCGGCGGATAAACCAAATACAAAATCAAAGGAACAACAATCAAAGAAACCAATCCTGGCACAATCGCAGCCTTAGCCCAATCCGTCCACCCAATTGTCTGCTTAATTGTATTTAACGTCAAAGTAGCACTCAAAGGATTCGCAGCCATAGCTGTCAAAAACATCGAAGATGAAATCACTGATGTTTGGAAACAAGTTAACATCAACCACGAACCAAGCTTATGCTCCGTCCCATCACCCGCATTACTACCACAAGCAACACAGAGTGACTTCACTAATGGCAAAAAATCCCTCCTGCTCGTGCAGAAACAGAAGGAATCGCCGGCGCTAATAAAGCTTCACTAAAAACAAGACTATAACCTAATCCTAACGAAGAAGATCCAAACAGAGATACAAATTGATACGCAATTCGGTTACCAAGTCCGGTTTTGATAAATCCACGAGCGAAGAAGAAAGCGAGTGCGATTAACCAGGGGATTGGATCACCAAATGCGGAAAATGCAGCGGCGAAAGTGAGGGTTTTAGTCAAAACTGAGGCACCTAAACCAATCAAAGCTACCGCGCCGAGCGGTAAAGGTTGCGTGATAATTCCGATTATTGTAGCAAGAAAAATAGCGAGCAGTTGCCAGGCTGGTTTCGTAACTCCAGCGGGAACAGGAACGAACCAGAGAATGACACCTGTCGCAATTGATGCAAGTAACGGTTTCATTGCTGCTCCTTGCCATGGTGGCGAGGCTGGTGTGATTGTTGTAGGTTGGGGTGATGGTGATGGTGATGCTGATGCCGACGAGGCTTTTACTGTGACGTTAGAGATTCTCCGCGTGGTGGTTGTGATGCTAGATTTGGAGAATTTTGGTAGCAAGGAAGAGACAACAGAGAGTTTTGGGAGATTCGGACGTGAAGGGATGGGATTTGGTGAGGTGGATCTCAGGTGGGAGAGAGGCCGGGATTTGAGAGAAGGGAGGGAGCTGAAGGAAAGAGAAGATGATGTGAGAGCAAACGACGCCATTTTTGGGTATGGCGTTGGAGAGTGAGGGGAGATTCGGTTTTCAGTCTTCAGTTCTGTTTCTGTACAGTAGTTGTGAAGGGAAGGGAAGGGAAGAGAAGGAAAGGTTTGAGAGGTGATTGATTGGCGTTTATTTATATGGGAAGTGAGCAGGGGGATCTGAGCTGTTGATTTTCTATCGGACGGTGGATACGAAGATGGAATATACGGCTCCTTCTTTTTGGGCCAGTGGGGGTGAGCTTCGTTGTTTTCGCCCCCTGAAGTTGAAGTGTCCGTCTGAGATCTTTCGTCTGTTCCACCGGCCCATGTTGTTTTTTTATTCAATGGTAAGGCTGGTTGCTAACATGCGCCGGGGGGGGGATTGGAGGCACCTTGTTAACGTGGCAGATAGTAAGTGGATCAGATTAACACCTTTTGGTGATGTTTACCAATGACGTGACAGTGGGTGCTCTTCATTGGATTACAAGGCTCAGCCAGCAGTTTTGGCCTGTAGCCGATACTTCCATGTTGAAAAAGGATTGAATGGCCAAGAAGGTTGGAAAAACAGAGGCCAGAGAGTTCAGGGTAGCGAAAAGACGAGAGTAACCTTTGGGATTTTGTGACCACAGAAATGCAGGGGCGAAGTTTGTCAATAAAGGCAGGTTGGATGTGGTGCAGCAGGTGTGAGAGACCAAACCAAACAGAAACAGTATAAGGACACATGCATCATGCATGCCAGCAAGTGTATTAACTGACGTTGGCTTGTTGAGGTTGAAAGGTGGAGGGTTGATCACAGCACTTATGGTGGGCCATTCATGGTGTGAAAGAGAATTCTGACTCTTTTTTGGAGCCAAGAGGCGAATTTAAACAATGACGATAATTTTAATGGTAATATATATATATATATATATATATATATATATATATCTAATAATGATTCTGATGGTAACAATATTCGTCGTGGTAGTTTGTGAGGATCACATGATAGTTGTCGTAAGTTGTAACACTGACAATTAGATGGATGCCCGTACTACGTAATACATTCAGTATAATAAGTAAAATTATTTTAAAAAATTATTATAATGTGATGGTTTTCATCATGTTATAAATATATAAAAGCAAAATTTATTCACCTCACTTTATGATTTTCTTTATCAAATTTTTATATTTAATTAATTTATTCTTATGTTTTTTAAAAGATCTCCTTCTTAAAATAAAATAATTTTTTTTCATGTATGGATTTTTAAATAAAAAATTATAATAACCTCAAACACAAGTTTCAGTTTATTAAAAATTCTAAAAAAATGCATAAATTTAATTATTAATTTTATAAGATTGTATCCAGCTAATAAAGCAACAATTAATTTTAAAAAAATTGGATAAAAATTTTAAGATTGAAAATATTTTTTTATGATATTGATGAGAAGATTAATTTTTAAAAGTGTGTATATATATATTCTCAAACTAATAAATAATATAAGCATAAAAAACTCTATTTAAAAGATATGGTGAGGTCGGATGTTGTTTTTTAAATAGAATTTTTATTATTTTATTTGAGGAGAATTGATTTCAATATTCTTAAAATAAAATAATTTTTTTTTCATGTACGGATTTTTAAATAAAAAATTATAATAACCTCAAACGCAAGTTTCAGTTTATTAAAAATCCTAAAAAAATGCATAAATTTAATTATTAATTTTATAAGATTGTATCTAGCAAATAAAGCAACAATTAATTTTAAAAAAATTGGATAAAAATTTTAAGATTGAAAATATTTTTTTATGATATTAATGAGAAGATTAATTTTTAAAGTATATATATATATGTATATATATATATATATATTCTCAAACTAATAAATAATATAAGCATAAAAAACTCTATTTAAAAGATATGGTGAGGTTGGATGTTGTTTTTTAAATATAATTTTTATTATTTTATTTGAGGAGAATTGATTTCAAAATATTGATTTTAAAACTAAATATTAATTTTTTTTATACATACTGTCAATTTATAATTAAAAAAACTTATAAGATTAATTTTGATATTTAATACTTTTAAATAATATAATAATAGTTTTATTACATTTTTATTTAATAGATATTTGGTCAAGTGAATTGGACATAGCACAAATGAAAAAAAAAAAAAAAAGGCACACAAAATTAATATAGTTGTATATAGATTTGACCTATTATTTAATGCATAAAAAATCTTTTCAAAAACAAATCCAACCATCAAATAAGCAATTTTTCAGAGCAAAGGTATAAAAGTTTCTCCTCTTTACAATTTTAGATACCAAAATTCAACTACTGTATCATTTTCATGAAATCATTTTGCATGGATCTTTAATAAGTCAACGATTGCACCAACTGTTTTAATTTTGTGTAATCATTTTTAAAATTGATTATTATTTATAGGCATCACCTACTCTTGCTATCTCTGAGGCCATGTATAGGGCACATCTAGTTTTTTATATCTAATAAATTTTTTTAATGCACTCTTTTGATATAAAGGAATCAGTATAATATTTATGATAAAAAAATCATCCACAAAAAAGTAATGAAAAAGATCCCTGAATTCCAAAGTAAATTATAAATTTGTCCATCTCATTTCGATAAATGAATTAATTAGTTATTTTGATTTCAAAAACTAATTATTTAATCCTTTTAACTAGTATTAACTACAATTAATTTAAAAAATTTTATTTTATAGTTTTTTCATATATTTATTTATTTATATTTTTTAAAATTAAAATAAATTAAAATAATAGTGAAAAGGACAAAAAAGGTTTTTGAACCAAAGGGACTAATTAATTTTTTTCTCAAAAAAATAGGGACTAATTTATAATTTATTTCTTGAATAGCAATGGCTTCTCTACGAAAATAAGGAGAAAAAAATCAAAAATTGGAGCATTAAATGCTCTGTCTTAAAAGAAAATGAAATAACCAAAAATGGCTTCAGAAGAAATTTAAAAAGAGAATCAATCGAGGATAAGCATAAAATTTTTCAAATCCAGTAAGTGGCAAAAGAGAAACTAATAAAAAGTTAAAGGACGAAAATCAAGCAACTCTCCACGACGTGGGAAGATAATCGGACGGCTGTGAGAAAGACACATCACTTATTGACGAACTAGATTAAAGAAAAATGTCTAAATAGTACGCTTGAGTCACAATCAATGGTTAGTTTGAATCTGGAGCAACAATAAAGAAACAACGTTAAAAAAGGAATCACCTCCATTCTTTTAGTTTTTTTCTTAATAATAATAATGACAGTGAAATAGCAATATCAATAACCATGTGGTTGGTAGCAAGTAAAACAATGACGGCAGTAATAGTGGCTAATAGTCGTTGTTGTTGTCATGGTAAATTGATCATTATTGAATGATAATATTAATCGATAACATATTAAATTAATAAAAAATCATCCTTTATCAATTTTATCATCCTTATTTTCATTTGTTTTCTTTCTTTTCTTTATCGGTACCTATAAAATATCATATGTGAAATTTAGCTAATCAATTATTAAAAAAACTGATTTTATGTTAGATTGATCACTGCTGATTGATAATACTGAGAAGTAACATTGTAAATTAGTCCAGTAAACAAAATTATATGCTAACTAACTAATTACCATCAATACTTTTCGGCGGAAACAAATGCATGCACCATTGTCACTGGTAAATGTCTGGATTATGCATAGCAGATGGGTTAGTGGTTTCAAAAATCCTTCTATCCTTTCTTTTGTCTTTCTATTGTTTTTTGTTTTAAATTCATCCATTTACATTTGATTTTTGTCTTCAACTCATTCCTCCATTAACTTTTGGTTTGTATTTTTTTTTTTTCATCTTAAGCTTGTACCTCTGCCCTTTCTTTTCGCATTAATCATTTTTTATTGAATTTGAATAAATAAATTAGAAAATAAAAAATATTTTTTCTTCTTAAGTTTGTCTCTACGCTTGCATTTTGTCTTCATCTTGTCTCTTAGTTAACTTTCTTTTTTTATTTTTTCCGTCTTAATCTCATCTTTCTATTATTTCTTTTCACATTAATCTTTTTTTACTGAATTTAAATTAATAAATTTTTTGAAAAAAATGTGAAGATATATTCTATCATTCTCTATAAAAAATAAAATAAAAAGATGAAGATAAAATATTCTTTTTATCTAAAATATCTTTTTATGGGTTTAAATTTATTTCTATAATGATAAGCAAATTTTGAGTATAAAATGAAATATTTATAGCTATTTTTTAAAATAAGAAAATATTTTTTAGTTCAATTTTTAAACTTTTGAATTGTATTTATAATTTTATTATACCTAAAAACTTATAGTATATTATAATTTATTTGTTTTAATTTTATAAATTTATTAATGTGACTGAAAAGTGGGAATAAAATTCTTTGTGTCTTTATACTGGAGCTCTTTTCTGAGATTGGGAAAAAAAAAACCAAAGATTTGTAGCTGAATTTATATTCCCTAAAAATCTAAATAAAATTTATATTCCATACCATTTTTTTTTAAACCCATGAATGACATTCTGGATAAAAATGTTTTTATCTTATTATTATTATTATTTGTTTTTAGTCTTTAGAGAGAATGATGAGATATATCTTTATTTTAAACAATTATTTATTTAAGTTTGAAAAAAAGAGAGAGTAGATTAAATAAATAAATAAAAGTAAAGAGACAATATTAAGATAAAAAAATTGATATGGGTCGCAATTATGTGGAATTAACTATGTGATTTAATGCAGTAGGCTCAAAGATTAACAGAAACAGGTCCTTAAAACAGAAATAAACGATAAAAAAAAAAACTTAAAATGAGTGTATATATATATATATGATATATATATATATATATGATCAAGACCAAAAAAAAAAAAAAGAGAGACTTCAGTAACCGTTATCCGCTTATCCCTACAGTAGATGGCACAGAAGATTCAGTATCGCGAGCTCCCCAATTTCTTGTGGAATTTCGGCACTTCCAACACTCATTGAACGAACTTTTTCGCAGATGAAAGTTCATTGTGAATTATGGTGACCAATACAGTGTCTAGTAAGGGTACCTGTTGGTTTAATTGCAAGTCTTCCTTGGGACTTGAACATTTTAACCTGTCTAGTTTGTTACAAGCTCCGTGTTCATTTTATTTATTAGGCTTTTCAACTTTAAACCAAGTCAAATCAGTGCAACACTGTGATTATCAAGGAAATCATCATTGTTTCAGAAGAGACAGCAGACTTAATATTCTATATAAATTATTTATTTTATATCCTACCTAACAGAGAAGTCGCTTTGGCCGAGTGGTTAAGGCGTGTGCCTGCTAAGTACATGGGGTTTCCCCGCGAGAGTTCGAATCTCTCAGGCAACGACATCGTTTTTATGATATCAATTGCTTCCTGCTTAGCTTTTGCGTGCAGGGGACAAAAGTTGGGCTAGGCCCTATATCTCAGAGTTGGCCCATTTTCAGCCCAACGGGTCAACATTTCATTTCCTGAGTCCAAAATCAAAGGGGTGGCTATTTTTTTTTTTTTTTTCCTTCCTCCTTAGAATCTATAGATGTAACGAGAAAAGCAATTCTTGGATGGGTTTAGTTTCAGTTATTCAATCCATTACAATGTATATTTGTATGTCCGAATCTAAAAACATGGATTAAAACTTAAAAACTAAAACACATCGATTTTCCGTTTTTCTCAGATTAGATAATTATCGATGCAGTTTTCTCTTCTCCTCTTAAATATTTCAATACAAAATAAGGGGATATCCAGACAAGTTGAGTTTACAATTTTAATTTTATCATTTAGTTGAAGTTTGGAAGTAACTTTAGAATTTCAAAAGTGTTCATTACTATGTATTCTATTCATCAACTTAAAACCGAATTATATATACTAATTCACAATCATATATTAAATTTATACGATTATATATATATAATTTCTGTAAATCATATATATTTATTTTAATTAATGTCATTATTAATCAATATACGTAGATCATTTTAAATGAATATTGGATGAATTACAAAATGGTAGCTGCTGTCATCTAAAGCTGCATCGGGTTTTTTTAATTTTTTGAGTGGGATTTTTGTCATGATGTGAAACATGCCATATCTGAAGAACACACTATTTTTGCAAATGTCTGTATACGTATGTATATGCTAGGGCCACATGCACGACAAATGCCTTTCCATTGAATAGTTTTGGTTGTTGGAGGCAAACTATTTGGGATATATATAATAATTGTTGACCAAGAAAAAAAATAAAAACCTGACCTCATTGACAAGAAATATATACATAAGCCATTTGCTCACCAGACTATAATCAATGAAGTGGTCCTTCACAGACAATAGAACCTTTCAATTCCCATGTTAAATGATAACAATTCATGCACAATTTTTTGTTTTTTCTTGAGAAAAATTCATGCACAAGTTAGTTCTGCAATGTTTAAAACATTAATTCTAAAGAGAAATGATTTCGAAAAGCACTGAATACTGATATCTTTATATATAACGTCGGCAATATTCAACCTAAAATAGAGTAAATTTGTTTTGTTTCAATATATATATATATATATCACTAAATCATACAACGTCTTAATCTAAATTTGCTTTATATTCAAGTCTCCTGCTAGGTTTTGCATCACCATAATAACAATATTTTCCTCTCTCTCTCTCTCTCTCTTTTTTTTATAATTATTTTGACTGCGGTTAAATATATAATAACTTCTTCATTGCTTTATCGTTGGACATTATTGGCTATTGGAATAAGGTAGAGCTATAATTACTCTTGGAAGCAAACCCTATATGGGGTAAGGTAACCAACTAATAAACTAGAGATATGTAGAATGAAAGCAAGCTGACTTGATATGCCAATGTGATTATGGTACCAAGTGGACGTCTCATCTAATTGATTAAACTTCATCAGAAGAAACCATCATCCTTTGCAGGCACAGAATTATAATTTCCATGTATTTATCAATTTGTGGTGCCAACCTACTTATCCCACTACCAATTCATAACAACTTCCCACTCCTGGATATTTTTTAGCTTTATACATCTCCTGATTTAGTTAAATTAAAGCAGCTAGCTAGGGTTTATGCACGCACCAACTAATATTAATCTCGATCTTGATAATATTCTTGTCCTCGTCTACACATGCTTTTTATATGATGCATGATCAGTCTCAAAAAGTAATGAGGAAATTGCAACAATACCATAAGGTACATTTACATACAAGAAAAGTTTGGTCACCAATTAATGTATAACAACTCTCTGCATGCTGCCCTTTATTTATTCCAGGCTTTCTTCTAGCTATATGTATATACCTCGTCGAAACTCTACTTGAAATTGCTAGATTTCTTTATGAAAACGGATAGAATACAAGGTTTGAGAGATGACCATGTTTGAAGAAGGGTGGTAATATATATATATAGCAACGCTAGCTTCTCAATTTGAGAATTTAATGTATTGGGGAAACCATTTATTCTCAACTTCTTAATGGAAATCAAGAAATGGAAAGGCCGAAACATCTTTCATCAACTCTTCCAAGTCCCACTCCCCCACTTTGAACTCTTCTTCGTGCCAAAAGTTCCCCATCTGATCAGCAGCTATGTTATCTGTCTTATTATTACTAGTGCTATTGCAGTTTCTGTAGTTAAGACTATTCACATGACTACTATATGAGTGTTTGTCGGTGTTATTATCCTGCATGTTTTGGGTTTTTGGATTTTCCTCCACGCAGCTTACACTCTCTAAAGGAGGAATCCCAACATTAATGCCTTCAAAAATCCCTTCCCCATACAAACCATGATCACCACTGTCAAGTACTCCAACTTGAGTCGTGCACGGTGCTGCACTATTGAATACGTACCCACTTGCACCACCATACATGTTTAGGCCAGGATCATGATCAAGCATGGGTAATAAGGGGTCTATCATGGTATTTAGAATCATTGCTCGCATGGAGTTTGTTAACGATGACGAAGATGACAGCGAAGGATCCATGTTCGTGGAGAAAATGCCTTGTTCTTGAATGGTCGTGAGCCCTCCCACGACATCTTTGCTAGGCTCCGAGGATGAATCACTCGTGTTTGGTGAGGCGTTAGATGACTGCAGATTCTTTATTCTTTTCTTTATCGTTGAATTCCAAAAATTCTTGATTTCATTGTCGGTTCTTCCTGGTAAGCGAGCCGCAATTTGAGACCACCTTTGAAAGGGAAAGAAATTGCATGATCAATAATTCAGTTTCAACTAAAGTTCAAAGAAAGAATCTTACTATTTTAGTTTTCTATTCGTGCATGATTTGCATGAATCAAGAATGCCAAGGTCATTTTCTTTACTAACTAAACAGTTAGTCACACCTGCCCTTGTAATTCAATTCCGAGGACTAAGTTGCTGTACTTGCTTAATGTTTATAACAATTAATGCATGGATAGCTTCAATCCTAAAACAACAAAAGCCATATAGCTAGGTGTGGAGTGCCTTCAACTCTAAAGACAAATAAAGACCAGAAGAAGAGTGTCTTTATCAGCTTATATAGGTACGTCTTCCATGTAAAATTAACTAGAGGAATTTGACTAATTGGCTGATCCCCTCATGTTACTCCTAACATGATCTAATCTTCAGAGCTGACTAATTTGTATGTGTCTCACACTTTCAAAATACGACAGCTAATTGTCCAACATAACGTGTGATGGGAGAGAAAAAAAGGCTCAAGGTGTACGTAATTGTATATGAACTTTCTCCATTGATTTGATTGCATTTGTCTTGCTATTTAAAATAAAGCTATGCATGTGTGTCTTATCAAAAATGAAAAAATATAAAGAGGCATCTGTGTGTAAGATTGACTTAGTGTGGAGAAACTAAGATATTTCTCCACACTAATATTGATCAAAGAAAGAGAGAGAGAGAAGGGTTTCTAAGGGCAAAATATGAACATGGGATTTTGCCTTCAGCTCACTGACCAAAGCAATGTACTCTTGCTATCTATCAGTCTCCTTAATTTCATCATATTATTGCTCATATTTTTCTTTTCATAGGTGTATCATATGGAATTAGTAGCAGTTATTTATTTTTTTTCATTTTGGTATGCATTAGCAACATTACTTTGAAAAAAAATCCAATCCCCTCATCAGTGTAGAAAATGTGACCTGAAAACTGCTACCTACCCACTAAAACCAAGTTATGCACGGATTATCTAAAAAGGAAATGAACCTTTGTAACTTAATTTAGAAAAGCAAGTAAAAAAACAATATTATAATAATTAACAATAATAAACTGAGAAATTAAGGGTAAAATTAAGGTCAATGAGCAAGTCAGCAAGGGATAGAAAGTACGTACCTATTGCCAAGAAGGGAATGCAAATGGATGATCATCTCTTCTTCTTGGGGTGAAAATGCACCCCTCTTGAGATCAGGTCTCAAGTAATTTATCCAACGAAGCCGGCAACTCTTGCCACATCTCTGCAAACCAGCATTCCTTGCTACATCACTCCAACAACCTTGCCCGTTGTTTACCATGTAGCTCATGAGTTTGTCATCTTCCTCTGGTGACCACAAGCCCTTTCTGAACTTGTTATTATTACTGACGATGTTCTTCCCAGAGGCCTCTGGCTTCCTCATTTTGAGAGCCCTTGGATCCTGTCTCTAGAAAGGTGATCTATATCTCTTCCCAACTGGTTCGATGTGGATTAGTTAAGACTTTATAGAATGGCAGATTATGAGAAAGAGAAAGAGGAGGCTTGGTAGAGTGGGCATGATGATCGTGATGATGATGATGATGGTTGTGGGGCATTGCTTAGAATATAGGAAAGAAAGAGAGAGAGAGAGAGAGAGAGGTGTTGGTTGATGAGTCTTTAGCAGTAAAACGGTTTGGAGAGGGACTGGGTAAAATGAGAGAGATTGGTGGTCGTCTTGTCTTTGACTCCATGATCTTGTCTTTTTCCATTACATTTTTCTTCACTCCAAGGTAATCATCATACACTGTGTCATAGAGAGACTGAAGCCATAACACCCACAGAAGGGAAAAAAGATAAAAAAAAAAGAAGAAGTTTGTTTCATAACGAAGCCAAGATATTTGCTTCCACTTCACATAATCTTTCAACCTCTCTTTCCCTCTCCATCGTACACACGTGTAATTGAAGATAGTGATTTAGATAATAGAGAATAATTTTGCAAGAACACATGGAAAACGTTCAATGGACCACATAATCAATACTATGCATCTTTATTGGTGATTAATTTGGCATTGGATGCACAAGTTGATGCCTCCATTCATAAAAAGCATGCAAGCGTAGAAAAGACTCCAACATTTGAAATACAAAGTTTTCATTATTTTCATGTGAGAAAGATGACATTTTCAATCACCCTCTTATAGTATTTTGTTACATAACAGTTTTTTTTATTTATATGGCTACCTAGTTGCATATGAAACCTGCAGAGCATTTTTTTCCATCTAGAAATTAAAGTACCCCGTAAAAGTGGTTAGCTACCAACCCTAGCCTATGATTTAGAACATTTCTTTCTCTTGTGTAGCTTGTTTCTCCAGTCTTGTAGTGAAAATTAAATCAAGTTAGTTAGCACACTAAACTAGCTAGCTAGATATGATTACTCATCAGATGATCTAAAGAAAATATCAGAATTTTCACAAGAATGATCTATTGAAATAGCTAGACTAATTAAATGCATTGTGATTCCTTCAAGAAAATGAGATTATATCTTCAGTTCTCCAAATAAATATTTTTATCGGCGACTAACAAAATAAATAATGTTAAAATGAAGAGAAGGGGAGAGTTCTCCTTGGAGATCACCATCCACACCAAGGCTGGATAATTAAACTGTATTATTGCTCTTGAGATGTTGCATGAATTTCATGTGTGCATGTGGATACTGGAGAGTTCTCTAATCCCTTTAATGCATTGTAATTCAAGCAACTGGGGTTCTTTTCCTTAAACTTTCAGTTTTCCATTGACATATTCAATGTACAGTAGCAAGAGATGAATGATGTGAAATAAAGATGAAAGAAATGGTGAAACAAACAATTGACTTCTTTTTTTTTTTCCCCTTACTTTTTCAAGCAAAACAAATCACTTTGCTTCTGTTTTATCGCCAACCAATGAATAGAAGTGCTTCTGCTTCTATCTAAGAATTTAAGAGAAGCAGATATGACATTTAAACCTATACCAGTCTGAGAATTCAGAGTTATGATAACATTGACGGCAGTCGGCAGCAAAATGGGGGTAGGTTTCTCCCTATTTACCTTCTGAACTTAGAAAAAATCGTCCTTCTAGAATGTGAGGAAATGATACGTGCTTGAATTATTTCTCATCTGCCAAACATACCCCATAGTCCTGAAATTACATTATTCTTGAATGCAGCTGTAATCCTATCAATTACTGCAAATCAATCATTTCTCTTATGCTATACAAATACCTTTGGGTAGTTCAAGTTATAATGGGAAAAGTCCACACTTTTCAACACTGGATTGGTGGACACCACACGAGATTGTCTAAACTCAGATATGTTTGCATCAAAGCTCCTTAACTAACAAATAGAATACGTACAAGTAGACCCCAAAGGCTCAAAAGGAGTAAGGATATACTGGAGTGGAGAAACGTGAATAATGTAATGACAGGTGCCAAACATACACGATCCTGCACTTTGTTCATCCTAAATTCTGTGCATGATTGTTCTTTTTACATTGTTTTACCAATTCCTCTCCAGATTCCAAAAAGGTTAAAGGAAGGTCATAAAGTTGTTAAGTCAGTACTGAGAAAAGTCAAAAAAGAAGTACCTGTGAGGGCCAAAAATCAATTAGGTGGGGAAGATGATAGGGATTCTACAATCAAATTAAGTACTTATTGAACTTTCACATGTGTGTGGAAATCTATGATTTGTGTGGGTGTGGGTTGAAGAGCCAGTGACCTCACCATTTTGATCCATGAAGTTATATACCACATCATGTTGTATTGACTTCAATTAATCTCATGATTACCGTATTTCTGGTGAAGAGAAATTAAACCTTATGCAGAGTGATTTGTGTCCAAACTGAACAAAAAAATATGTAGTGGACATAAATATCAAACCATTAGGGAAAAAAAATCTTTTTAAACTTTATTTTTGTTGCAGTATCCCTGTGCTATCTATAAAGTAAAGCCAAATACATACATAAATAATGAAGGGAGAAAAGGTCTAGGGAAATATTGGACGGTACTCCATTGTTTCAACTTTTTCTATGCTTTCTCTTTACTGTTCCCCAAAGCTTTGTCGCTACCTGTTATGGTTACTAGTAATGAGTGAATGCCTTTAAGTTGATGAGACTGGCCCAATGAGGAAGGCCTTCTAGGCCACAAAAGCAAATTAAGATGGAGGATCAGATGAGAAAGATTCTCATCAGGACCAGGATATTTGATCATTGAGTTAAAATTATAACAAAAAAGAAACCCATGAAAAGGCAAAGATATTGGTAGGGTATCTAAAATGAATGAGAAATATGCAATTTTTCTTTCTTATTCCCAAGAACCCACTTTCAGTTTAAATAATAAGGACAAAATATGACCACAATTAATAGTGATATTTCATAGCTTCAATAATAGTTAGTGATGAAAAAGGAATAAAAGAAAATAATGTTTGTATTCATCTTTTATTTTATGAATTATTAGCACATTTATACAGCAATATTCTTAGAATAGAAAATTGAAATAATAAAGTCTAAAAATTAAAAACTAAATATTTCGTCTATTTTAACGTAATTACATGCTATAAATTAGGAAATTACATAGTTGTCAACACTCTTTCTCAAGATGGTGTATACCTATCACACATGCCCATCTTGCAAACTAGAAAATGAAAAAAAATTACTACATACTAAACCTCTTAGTGAAAACATCACCTTATTGATTCTCCGAAAACACATGAGTAACATCCAAAATCTCATTGAATATTTTTTATTTAATAAAATATTGATCAATCTCTATATGTCTTGTTCGATGATACTTGAATCGGATTATGTGTAATACTAATGGCAGTCTTATTATCACAATATAAAGATAGAGGATTACTTTTTAAGATTTGCAATTCTTCCATCATTTTTTAAAGCCATAAGAATTCATAAACACCCATTACCATAACTCTATATTTTGTCTTTGTAATTGATCGGGCTACTACACTATGTTTTTTGCTTCTTCAAGTAACTGAATTTCCACCTACAAATGTGCATTAATCGGATGGTGACCTTCCATCATCAAGAGATCCAGCCTAGTTTGCATCCGTGAAGTCTTTCATTTTTAGATGACCATGTTTAGAGAAGAGATATCCTTTATCGAGTGTAAATTTTAAATACCTCAAAATATGAAAAACAATATCCAGATGAGAATTTCGAGGATCATGCAAATGCTAACCGAGTACACTAGTAGCATTGGCTATATCTAGCCTAGTGTGGGAGAGATAAATCAATCTTTCAATCAATTTCTAATAACGACTCATATCAATAGGTTTACCAAGATTAGCTTCTAATTTATGGATGGCATGATAGGAGAATCCGTAGGCTTACACTCTAACATATCAATTTTCTCAAAAAATCTAAAATGTATTTTCATTTGAGAAATAAAAATGCCTTTGTCTAATTTGGCAACCTCTATTTTAAGAAAATATTGCAGCTTAGCCAAATTCTAAATCTCAAACTCTTGGATTAGAAGTTTTTTCAATCTAGCAATTTTGTCCACTTTCATCCCATGTTACAACTATATCATCAACATAAAGAATAAGCAATGTGATCTTACCATTGTAGTCTTTGATGAATAAGATAAGATCAATATTACTTGATAATGTCTAAATGAAAATATGGCTTTACTCGTACCTATCAAACCATGCTCGAGGTGATTGCTTTAAAACATACAAGGCTTTATTGAAACAACAAACCTTACTTTTGGTTTTTTCATAGTCAAATCCTAGAGGGACTTCAATATACACTTCTTCTTCTAAATGTCCATATAAGAAAGCATTCTTGACATCCAATTATTGTAGATTCGAATCAAGGTTAGCTGCACATGACAAAAGGATTATGATAGTATTTATTTTCATAAGCTGGAGCAAAAGTTTCTTGATAGTCTATCTTGTAGGTTTGAGTGAACCTTTCACTATCAATTGAGCTTTGTACCTTTCAATTGACCTATATATCTACCTTATATTTAATAGTAAACACTCATTTGCATCCAAATGTGTAACACCATTAAGCTAACTAAGGCCAAAAATGCTACCAATTATACTTTATACTCGAAGTGCAATGAATGTAAGATATCGAGTCTTATGTCCTCTCTTTTATTTTTTAAATACAAAACGTAATGGAAAACTCGTTTAGTTCGAAAAATAAAATAAAATATAGGTTAAACTCATTAAAAGCCACTTCAATGTTAGGTTCCATATTAAACAGTTTAAACCATTTCAAGAATAAATAACATTAAAAACAGAAATTATGTTTATCACGAAAAACCAATTTGATAAAACATAGGTTGTTGAAACCATTTCAAGTATTATAATTAAAAACTATTTTAATAAACTTTGGAAGTCCATTTTATTAATTCTTCTTTCTATGTACCAAATCATGTATTAAGTCATTTTAGTTA